GTTTAGAACACAAGTCCCAAAAATATGAGAGTTAATTATCCCATCGTACGAAGTTCGGAGGGATATAGGGAACGCCTCCGTCCGTCCGTCCGTCCGTCCGGGCAATAACTCAAATACCGTTGGCCCGATTTTGTTCATATTTTGTACACATATACCCTATGGGAATAGAAGTTCTGCTCGAAAGCCAATTTTCAAAATGGCCGCTCATTTCAAAATGGTGGCCATTTTAGTGCCGAATTTACAGTAATTTAGGTGCAATATGTAAAACTGTAATAGCAATATGTTTTAGCTGTAAAAAAAGTATATAGGACATTAATAAAGCTAGAAATGTAGATATTAAAGAAGCACATGGCAGCCATCTTGAAAAATGGCAGCCTTTACTCGTTATTTTATGATTTTTGCTGTAACTCGAAGAGTAGTGGAGCGATTTTGTTCATATTTGGTATGTGAATATTATAAACATTGCACACTGTCTAAAGACACTTTTAGTAGAAGGTGGCCATTTTGAAAAATGGCCGCCATTTTGAAAAATGGCCACCATTTTAACGTATTTTACTATAACTCGAAAAGTAGTGGAGCGATTTTGTTCATATTTGGTATGTGAATACTATAAGCATGACACACTGTCCTATGACACTTTTGGTAGAAGGTGGCCATTTTGAAAAATGGCCGCCATTTTAACATATTTTACAATAACTCGAAAAGTAGTGAAGCGATTTTGTTCATATTTGGTATGTGAATACTATAAGCATGGCACACTGTCTAATGACACTTTTGGTAGAAGGCGGCCATTTTTCAAAATGGCCGCCATTTTAACATATTTTACTATAACTCGAAAAGTAGTGGAGCGATTTTGTTCATATTTGGTATGTGAATACTATAAGCATGACACACTGTCCTATGACACTTTTGAAAGGAGGCGGCCATTTTGAAAATAATTTTGAAAAATGGCCGCCATTTTAACGTATTTTACTATAACTCGAAAAGTAGTGAAGCGATTTTGTTCATATTTGGTATGTGAATACTGTAAGCATGGCACACTGTCTAATGACACTTTTGGTAGAAGGCGGTCATTTTTCAAAATGGCCGCCATTTTAACGTATTTTACTATAACTCGAAAAGTAGTGGAGCGATTTTGTTTATATTTGGTATGTAAATACTATAAGCACGGCACACTGTCTTATGGCATTTTTGGTAGAAGGTGGCCATTTTGAAAAATGGCCGCCATTTTAACTTTTTTACTATAACTTGAAAAGTAGTGGAGCGATTTTGTTCATATTTGGTATATATGAATACTATAAGCATGGCACATGGTCTAATGACACTTTTGGTAGAAGGCGTCCATTTTGAAAAATGGCTGCCATTTTTGCTATATACTTTGTTTCTAAAAATGCCATCCATGGCTGTTCGATGGGATTCGCTACGCTTTGGCGTTGCCGTTGTTCTGGTTGCCCTTAAAAGTTTGTACATCATACAGAAAAATACAGAACCTGTACAAAATACAGGAATACTAGATTAACTAAAATAAACTCAGTAGACTGTTTTATACCAAAGAGGAGACAGTTTAGATTGGTCCTGTTAGAATATGACACATAATTAAATAGTCAGATTCAAGTAGACATTGCATCAGATAATCCCATTGTGATTAGATAGCTGAATAATTTAGTCTGCTTAACTAATTATTCGATGACACAAATCTCTTAAGCCAATAGTCTGAGCAAATGTCACTTTGATATCTTAAAAAGATGTGATCTCTGAAATCAGTTCAATTTTTTGTTGATTTTATTCCTTGGATTTTAGAAAAGCAGATTATTATCCCAGAAACTGGAGTCTATTGAGTAATGGCTCATTTTTAATCACTGAACAATATAATACAGTAATATGACCAGCATGAACAGGCAAATTCCTCTGTAGAAAACAAACATTTTTTCAATATATATTTATTTTAGGTTAAAAAATGTGAAATTGAGTTTTAATATAAAACTGAGTTTGAATTCTCATTTATGACAAAACATACATGTATGTTCTTACATTGTCCAAACTTACAATAATAAATATAAAACGTTAATACAAAGCAAATAAAAATATATATTATCAAAATAACCATTGTTTGGTATGTTCTGTTTTCATTCCTCACCCGGATTACATTCCTAATATATAGTAAACTCACTAGGCTCTCAACATCATATTGATCCAGTATGTATTAACATTACAGACATTCTATTTCTCACGTCAAATTATGACTGGCATCCAAAGGCTTTTTTTATGACTGGCATCAATGCTTTTTGTGTGTAATGATTTTTTGAGAGCTTTGACCAAAGAAGAAACAAGAGATCATTTTAAAAAATGAAGGCTCGTGTGAAGGAGATGTTTGCAGTGTTGTAATGAATTGTATTGATAAATAGGGATGCTTACTTTTAACATGGTTGTAATTTACAGAACGGCAAAAGTAGAAAAAATACGAACATTTTGAACTGATTAAGATCTTTAAATTGTGAAGGTCTGAGTACCTGGACCTCTTAGAAAACATCCAAACATATCAAAAAGTGAAGATGGGTCAATTTGATTCTCGTTCTCCGAAGATATTAATAAAATAGTGAAATGTTTTCAATGCTGTAAATTGTTCACAATTCTAAATCAAGAAGTCGCTCGTATTTCTGTCGTATTTAGGAAATCATGTTGCCGAAAATCAGTGCACAGTGTTCATGGTGTTGTTGTAAAATTGCCTATATGTCATTTGAAACCCTCTCTAATGCAATTTTATTATAAACTAACACCTTAGGGTTAAACTATTGCTCGAGGAATTAACTCATTTTCATCAATAAATATTAATCCATCAGGTTTTCTACTATACTAGTAAACTAACGTTTAAACCTCAGTCCATTGTCATTATCACTTACTACTAAACCCAAGTGAGATATGGCTCTTGCCTCAGCACGAGCCAATAAATATATGTTTTAACATGGTTGAATTGCTCAGAGGTCAATACAGTACAGGGTATTGTATTTTAGGGTTCGGTCTGACTTAGATTAATGACTTTATATTAATATGACTTATATGTTCAATAACACATCATTAATACTCATATTTTCAGGATATGAGTCCCCTAGGAAATATAATATTAGATCACTGCAAATTAGTTTGTTTTGACATAGTCACCAAATGCAATATCTTTCTGTTTCAAATGCACTGGTGATCCACTCGATTACGCTGGTTACCGAAATGGTTCGTTTTGGTAACAAAATTTCGGAACGTTGAAGGTACGATTTTTCTCTTTTCCTTATTTCACACGTTGTAGGCAGAATTCCCACGTCATTTTTAACACAAATTTGTATCAGTATCATATGTTTTAGAAAATGTACACGAACAAATAGTTCAGAAGACAACAGAATCGTCGATTTAATTCTTCACTTAAGTTACATAAACGGTTTTTCGAAAAACAGTTAAGATCTGCACTTTTACCCAAAACCGTTTATGTAACTTAGTGAGGAATTAAATCGAAGATTCTGTTGTCTTCTGAGCTATTTTTTCGCAAACATGAACATTTTCTAAAACATATGATACTGATATACGTTTGTGAGAAAAAACGTCGTGGGGATTCTGCTACAACGCGTGAAATAAGGAAAAAAGAAAAATCGTACCTTTGACGTTCCGACATTTTGTTACCAAAACGAACCATTTTGGTAACCAGCGTAATCTAGTGGATCACCAGTGAAATGCTTCTATATGCCTTTCTTATCATAGATGTAAATGACAAACCACAATTTATATTAATTTAAATATCCTTTTTGAAATAAATATATGTTCTCTATTTTTATGTTTATAGATGAGGAAGAGGCTATGGTATACAGGATCTCGTAAGTTGTTTTTTCTTCACTCAAAAAAGTAAAAGCCTTTTACCAAAAGAAATGGGGGAAAATATGAATAAAAGAACTCCATGAGAGAAAAATATATTAATATACAACATTAGATTTAGGTAACCAAATTGTCCTTCACTGTTCAAAATATGATATCTCAAACATGCATATGGATATCCATGTTTATTATTATGAGGGCAAAAATGTTAAAAATTAAGAGTCTGCCCCCTAGCCGTATTCTTCTCTCTTGTGGAGTTCATGTTTTCAGGCAGGTCTAAAGTGCTTTATTTGTACATTGGACAAAGATATACTGAATGAGATAGCACTTTCAAAATGTTGTTGTCTAGAGATCTGATAGTACCTTAAATAATTGATTGCCCAATATTAGAACAAGCTCTGGTTAACAAATTTTGCAAGTATTTTCACTGAATGTTATTTGATGTAGATTGTCTTATTCAGTTTGTACTGAATGCCTCACTATGATCTCTTAAGAGAATATACCACCAGTTTAACACACTCTGTAGGTCAAGATAAAAAATCCTATTTACACAGAGATATAACCAAAATACATCAATTAAGTAAGACATGTTTGTGGTTGCTTAGTTATCATAAAACAACTTAACACTCATCAAGGAGGCATAGTATCAAAACAAGGTGGCTCTTCACAACCTCTTTGTAGTGTGCATTTGATTGCAAAGTACATGAATAATCATTCTTACTTGAACTAATGAACTATTAGGAGTGTCAAAAAGTATATTACAAAATATAGTAATTCGAAATGGCCAACATCTTTTCATGAAAGTCTCACTTTGTAGCTTTTATACAAAATTGCAAATATTCAATTTTAGACTGAAACACTCTTCGACATCAACATTTTTAATTCACTTTTTGTTGAAGCAGCATTCCCTTCTGATATCTGCATCATAATTATTTACTAACTGCATGTTAAGTTCAATCGTGGCGCTACAAACAAATTCAATACATTTGCAATGTAACATGTTTTACCTATTGAAGTATCTACTTAGTGAGTTGTGTTGTAGGTTATGGATCTGCACCTACACACTTGCTGTATCTGCTGGTGCAGTTTTGCTGCTTCCTATATCTATAGTGAGCAACGAAGTCCTCATCTGGTACCCTAAGAGTTACTATGTCAAGTGGCTGAATAGTTCTCTCATACATGGTAAGTAAAATAAACCACAATACAGGGTATGGTTCTGGAAATGTACGGTAAAAGTATGTAAAGGGCCCCCTAAAACCACTTCAAAATCCAATCTTTAAACTTTGTAAAATGTGTGTGTGTGCAGAGTACATTGTAATTCTGAAACTGTCCATGCAGATACATACACAATTATACATATGTATGTATGTTTTATTCCAGGTCTTTGGAACTATATCTTCCTGCTGTCAAATCTAGCATTGTTCATCCTGATGCCATTTGCCTACTTTTTCACTGAATCAGAGGGATTTTCAGGCTCTAAGAAGGTATGATATGCTCAGTTTAAACTATACAAGCATGTTTTTGTTTTAAACGTGCAAAAATATAATTTATAATTACTGTTGACCTACCTACAAGAGAAAATGAAAATAAACAATCTAAAATGTCAGTGCTGTCATATTTCAGGGTATAATGGCCAGAGTGTATGAATCACTGGTGTTACTGTGCTCTCATATTTCAGGGTATAATGGCCAGAGTGTATGAATCACTGGTGTAACTGTGCTCTCATATTTCAGGGTATAATGGCCAGAGTGTATGAATCACTCGTGTTACTGTGCTCTCATATTTCAGGGTATAATGTCCAGAGTGTATGAATCACTGGTGTTACTGTACTCTCATATTTCAGGGTATAATGGCCAGAGTGTATGAATCACTGGTGTTACTGTGCTCTCATATTTCAGGGTATAATGGCCACAGTGTATGAATCACTGGTGTAACTGCGCTCTCATATTTCAGGGTATAATGGCCAGAGTGTATGAATCACTGGTGTTACTGTGCTCTCATATTTCAGGGTATAATGGCCAGAGTGTATGAATCACTGGTGTAACTGTGCTCTCATATTTCAGGGTATAATGGCCAGAGTGTATGAATCACTGGTGTTACTGTGCTCTCATATTTCAGGGTATAATGTCCAGAGTGTATGAATCACTGGTGTTACTGTACTCTCATATTTCAGGGTATAATGGCCAGAGTGTATGAATCACTGGTGTTACTGTGCTCTCATATTTCAGGGTATAATGGCCAGAGTGTATGAATCACTGGTGTAACTGCGCTCTCATATTTCAGGGTATAATGGCCAGAGTGTATGAATCACTGGTGTTACTGTGCTCTCATATTTCAGGGTATAATGGCCAGAGTGTATGAATCACTGGTGTTACTGTACTCTCATATTTCAGGGTATAATGGCCAGCGTGTATGAATCACTGGTGTTACTGTGGTCTCATATTTCAGGGTATAATGGCCAAAGTGTATGAATCACTGGTGTTACTGTGCTCTCATATTTCAGGGTATAATGGCCAGAGTGTATGAATCACTGGTGTAACTGTACTCTGATATTTCAGGGTATAATGGCCAGAGTGTATGAATCACTGATGTTACTGTACTCTCATATTTCAGGGTATAATAGCCAGAGTGTATGAATCACTGGTGTTACTGTACGCTCATATTTCAGGGTATAATGGCCAGAGTGTATGAATCACTGGTGTTACTGTGCTCTCATATTTCAGGGTATAATGGCCAGAGTGTATGAATCACTGGTGTTACTGTACTCTAATATTTCAGGGTATAATGGCCAGAGTGTATGAATCACTGGTGTTACTGTGCTCTCATATTTCAGGGTATAATGGCCAGAGACTATGAATCACTGGTGTTACTGTGCTCTCATATTTCAGGGTATAATGGCCAGAGTGTATGAATCACCGGTGTTACTGTGCTCTCATATTTTAGGGTATAATGGCCAGAGTGTATGAATCACTGGTGTTACTGTGCTCTCATATTTTAGGGTATAATGGCCAGAGTGTATGAATCACTGGTGTTACTGTGCCTCCTGGCTATCCTAGTGTTTGGTCTGGCATGGGTCGCCTTGGCTCTTATTGACAAAGATACATCTAGCAGGAAGGCTCTGTGGCGTAAGTCTACTAAGAATGGCTATTAACAAGAAGTGTTTCAATAAATTGTTTAATGTCAAATTTATTTGTTAATGTGTGTTAAAAGGGAAGGGGTTGACTTCAAAATGTATACAAATTGATGATCATTTAATAGACCCCCAAAAAGAATTGTAGGAAAGTCACCAAATAATTTGAAAAATGTCTAATCACCCAGTATAGGTAATCAATCAACCAAGCCCTACTATGTTCCTTTATGTTTCAGATGTTTGGAGTTTCTATCTGCCCCTGCTGTACTCATTTATCTCCCTGTTGGGGGTCCTCATGCTGCTGATCTGTACCCCAGTGGGATTTGCTCGACTCTTCACTGTCATGGGTCAACTTGTTGTCAAGCCACAGTTTTTACAAGACATCGAAGAGGAGATTAACACAGCGAGATTTGAAGAAGAGACTTTACATAGAAAATTGCAGTATAAAGGTACTTGAAATAGTATGATAAGTAGGGGCTCTCAGAGTATACAGTATACCTGTATAGCTCGGCGGTAGCACAGGTACCTCTTACGCAATAGGTCCCGGATTTGATCCCTGTTAATTTGCTTGTTTGCGTAAAGTATTTCAGGGTATTTGACTGAGTGAGCAATAACTTGTACAAAAGGCTGTGGTGTGTACTTGTATGTCTATGTATATGTGCGCATAAAAGAACACAGGGCTCCTTCTTCCAGGCTAATTATTACGCTAATTAAGACCGTATATATACAGGATATACCCAAGAGGTATTGCTCACCTCCATTGGTGGTAAACAAAATACAATAAAAGTGTACTTTGGAACACCATATATAGTTGTTTCTTTATTCTTTATTAATAGTTCTCAAAGATGAAGTCAAGAATTATTATCCCAACGAACGAAGTTCGGTAGGGATATAGTGAAGCCCTCCGTCCGTCAGTCAGTCCGTCAGTCCGTCCGTCTGTCCGTCCGTCCGTCCGTCTGTCCGTCCGGAAGATAACTCGAATACTAGTAGACGGATTTTCTTTATATTTAGTGGAAAGATGCATATTGGTGAATAGTTTTACGCAAAAAAAAAAATTGTCAAGATGGCCGCCGCTTTAAAAATGACGGGACTTTTTCGCATAAATCATAAATTGTTCATTCTAAACCAAAGTAATTAATATTATTGTTTGAAATTTTGGTGGTTTATTCACAACATTTATCTATTTCACATATATTCCGTGTTTTTCATCCTGACCCCCAGGGGCCGTGTATGGGGGGTCAGGAAAACAGAAATTTTCGCTAATTTTTAGATCTTTCTGAAGTATAGCTTTATTATACTCAAATGAAAGGCAATTAAGAGTAGATTGCAAATATTGTATCTTTTTTCTGATTCGAGCCTCGTAAAATTCAAAATGGCCGTCTAATGTACGATTTCGCAATTCTAAAATCTAATTTTTTTTCAATTTTAACCAAAGTAATGAGTATAATTGATTGGAATTCGGTAATTGATATTTTGTTCGTTGGGATTTGCTACTCCGCAGAGTTGCCGTTATCTAGTTTTTCAATCAATTAATGAAGTAACAATGATATTTATTTGAAATGTTATAATATGTTTGATTTCTATGTAATTTTAGTGAGGCACACAATAGCCAATGGAACAAACAGTGTCCAAGAGATTGAAGAGAAATTAACAGAAGTCCAAGAAGACAGAAGAAAACTTGGTAAATAATCAAATTTAGTATAATGTAATGTTATAAATAATTAGAGGTTATGTCACTATCGTGGCATATATGCCCGAGGTCTCAGTGATATATGGCCCGACCTTGGGAGGGACATTGATCTCTGAGAACCGAGGGCATATGTGCCACGATAGTGACATAAACGATTTATAACATACCTATGATGATGTAGACTGGTCAGAGAGTACCGTTTTCTTATAGAATTGACAAACAAATGGTTGAAATGAGTTTAGAAAAATTGCTCGTGCAGTTTTATCTTCGATTGATTGGTTATGACGTCAGCGCCTTGATCAATCAGAAAGTTAGCGGGCGCGGGCTTTTCAAAACTTATATTGGCCCGCTGTCTTGTGTACACTTTGCACTATACATCATCATAGGTATGTTATAATAGATATTATAAATAATGCCATTTTTAATCCATCCAAAAGTTCCTACTAAAATTTGAAGACACTGTATAATTGAATGTATGTTTTTGAGAAAGGTTTATTAAAATCTGCCTAATGAAAAATCTAGCATTCCAATCATTTTTTGTGGCGGAAATTATTCTTTATTAGTAAGAACTGCTGATGGAATTGTAATTAATTAATGGTTTGTTGTAAAGTGTGTAAATAAAAGTACTCCATTTGAAGTTTTTTATTGCGAATATTGACAATAATTTTAGAAAAACGGAAAAAGGTGTCAGCCCTTAGGCGCAACTTGGGTTACCCACTGATGATGATCTTACTTTTAGCTTTAACAGTAAGTATGTGATTATGTTGCAATCTAAACAATACAGTGAAGATTCACATTTTAACAAGAAACTCTCTCTTGAACATTGATTTCTGTAACTAAATACTCTACAGTCGACATTGTCTTTGTAACTGGACCCTCTAAATAACATTTGCTTTGCAACCATATCTTCCAGAGTGAACATTATTTATCTGTCTATCTTTATATATTACTTATGATATATTTTGGCTCATATTTTGGTATTGGAAAAGAATATCTCAACTTGTTTGTACATGTGGAAGATAATTTTGATGTTACTTTTACAAGGTTATCTCAAATTCTTGTCTAGAAAAATGGTTTTGCAAGTATCTTATTATACTTTGATTTAGTGTTTGTTTTTATTGCAGGCTGTATCTGTGTTAATAGTGGTTCAGAATTCCATAGAACTGTTATTAGGAGGAAAGGAGTTACCTGTAGGCAAAAAGGTATACTTAACAATATTATATAAATATTTAATTCTATTGAGGTGAATACCTGTTCATCTTTCACAAGTGATATTCCATGAAGCCCGAAGGGCTATTGGGATATCATCTTGTGAAAGTGTCACAGATATTCACTGAAAATAGAATTAAATATTTGTTTTATTATTCACTCAGTTATATTTCTCACTCATATAAATGGAATAACAAACTATTGATGTCTAATAAATCATAACAATGTACCCTGGGGCTATATAAAATTCAAGTTAAACGGGACTAAGTCTTGACTGTTGAATATCATTTCATATTCAATGGAATTCACGTAACTTCCATTGAATATCACTTGTTATTTTTTAGTCATGTGTAGGACATGGACAATCAGAGAGTGAGTAATATGACAGTGAAATAATAAACATATATATTTCATCATCAGAAGCTTAAATATGTAGCTACTATTACATGTAATTTTTAGGCAGTAATTAATAAAATTCAGAGAAATTGCATTTTTATACAGAATATGATTTTCCATTTCCAGCGATAGAAAAACTGAATTTTATAAACTGTAGCATGCACAAATATTATGTTTGAACTATATTTGCAGGACACAGTATTAGGCAAGTCCTCTTTGGTGGCACTCGGTCCAATTGGAGCAGCATTTGAAATTGTACTGATTCTGTATCCTTTACTAATCAATTTTACTACACATGATGTTAAAATAAAATGGGAATGCCTATATGATATTCCTAAAGATGAAAAAGAAAACAAGAAAAACAAAAACAAAAATTATAATCATTAATTATGTTATTAGTGTCATTGAAAAAAATCAGAAATAAAAAAAAGAAAAAGATTAACAGATTATTAATTCATTAGAATACACATAGCTCAGTTATATATTCTTAACTCTGCCCAGCTACTTTATGTTAGCCTCTGTTGTTGGCTTCTATAGTTTACCAGTATTTTCCCGTCTACGCCCTTTATTGCATGATACAACAATTACGAAAATCATAGGCAACTGCGTAGTCTTACTTGTACTAAGTTCAGCTCTCCCAGTATTATCACGAGCATTGGGTAAGAAAATATGTTCACCTACTTTTCAATGAGATAACTTGGGGTTAATGATACTTATTCAAATTGCAGTGCAAGAAATCAATGAAATAGTCCCAAAATTTGGGAAATTGATACATGTGCATCAGTGATTCATTTATGATGAATAAGATATTTCATGGAAAAAATTGCCAGATCACTACAAATGTAAAGAGATGGAGCAATACTCATAAAGCAAGTGAATATGATACTCTAGAAGCTAAAGTTAAAGTAGACCTAAAAAGTCCAGATTTTCAACATTTGACTATCAGCTTTCTTATTGGTACCATACACTATGAGGGATACTTTTAATAACATCACTCACAGAGTACAATAGAGGGATACATTAAAAAGTAACAATAGTTCTCATGTATTAGGTGTGCCAAAAAAGGTAAAAGTTACGTTCATGTTAATATATTTTGTCTCATTCATTGTATAACCAAAAAATTATATTCTTTCAGGAATCACAAATTTTGATCTTTTGGGAGACTTTGGAAAAATTGACTGGTTAGGAAACATGGAAATAATATTGACATACAACCTGATATTTGGAGTGGCGACATCTTTATGTCTGGTTAAAAAATTCACATTATCCATTCGACAAGAAATCTATAGAAGATTAGGAATGGCATTCCGTAGAGAACAAAAACGTACAACGTCACTGAATATAAATGGTAGCGCTGTAAAGGACCAATCACATCCAAGCAACGGCTTCACATCCCCAAATAATGGGACAAATGGCACAATACAACTGAGTTCAACGATCACAATGAATGGAAACACAACTCACGACAAAAATGAATAGTTGGATATAATAAAGGAGGTGCTTGGATAACAAAATATGCTTAAAATCTCAAAAAACTGAAGTTAGAACAGGGGAACATTTCGGAGACAGTATTATATGTTTTGTGTGTGTTTATCCATAAATGACTAACTTAACCAGGTCATTTGTATAAAACTATGTAGCGAAACATTTCGAATGGTGAAAGAGCTAGAGAACTTGGGCCAGTGCTTTAATATTAATGAAGTGCCAATTTGATATTAGTAGGTCACCTATAAGGTCAGTATGTGAATGTGCTAGATATTATGTAATGACATCCACTTGAATAGCTTAAAATAAATTGAAAGAATTCCTCTTGGCATTCAGGCAGAGGTAAAGCATAATAAATATATCAACAATATTATGTCAGTCATTGGTTTCAAATATATTTCAAATATAAAATATATATGAAGTATAAACAATTCTGAAATAGATTTGCTTAAAAGCATCATTATAAGATCATAATGAGATCCCCAGTATGCCTAACTAGTAATTGTGAAAGTAAAAATGTCTGAAATGTTGTTAAACACTTCTGATTTGAGGGGACTGTACTTGGTAGTGTTTGATTGCTACTACATGTATTTCATTTATGCATTCTACTGCAGCCTTAACCATTGTAGTATTACAAGAATGGCCTCTGTTTGGTGATTGACATGTATACAATGAAACTATATTCAGTCATAATGTTATATAGTCAATATAGAATCTGTGGAACTGGTTAAAATGATCTAACAATGCAATTTCTCTATATATAAATCTTCATATGGTGCTATCCTGTGGGGTGTGAATATGTTCTTTTTTCTCATGTTATATTGTGATATGACTGAAATCTGTGTAAAATACAATTCCTCTCTGGCTACATTAGGAGCAGAAAGTGCAGCATTTTGATCAATATAAACACAACATATGTGTAGTTCATTTTGTTTAGATCTCATTCACAAGAATATTCAGAGCTACATTCTATTTCCATTTTCTTTCTTCATGACGGTTAAGAAATAAAGAGAAGTCTTGAGTAATGAAGTATGAAACCATGGTTTGACGTTTTATGCTAAAGGCCCATAGCCAGGATTTGTCAAAGGGGTTCACTTTCTGAAAAATTCCAGGGGGGTTCACTTTTGAAAATAACTTTAAAAGTGCTCAGAATGGTGAAAAACTGCATGATATTGAAAGAATTTTTGGCCATCGAACCCCCCCTGGCTACGGGCCTGTAATGGTTACATGTCTGACCATGATCATTGTACTTTGTTCTTCTACAGGGTGTCTCATAATGACCACCCCCCTTCAATCTGAGGATTGGCTGCTAATATGGGTCAGTCATTATCCATCACCTTGTATAAATGATTTACACTTGAAGGCACAGCTGTATATTCATCCATTTTTACTAGAAATCCAGATGTTGAAATCATAATTGATAAGTGAAAACTTAACTTGTCTATAAATTCATGTAATACTAAAATGTCTGCATTCTGTTATGAAAAAATTATAATTGTCATGCTGTATGCCGAAGGGGCTAATAATCTTGGAAATACAATACATATCATGTTATTTCAGATTGACATTTTTCTGTTCCAAGTTCAAGTGTATGAGATTTTTGTTTAGTGTAATAAACTTTGTTGTTCAAATTAACTGTGAAATGCATGTAGAAAAATATATGCAAAATTGCATTATGTACAGTATCTGTTAAAAAAGCATATACTTGTTCATATTTGTGTAGTCTTTGTAATAATGTATAGAATATTTGTAAAAATGTTTTTGCTTAATAGCAATGTTAAATACATCTGATGTTTAATACTGAGATTTTTTTATAAAAAAAAAGTTTAAAACAATTTCAGAATGCTTTGTTTTGTACTTTATGTCAGTGGCTGCAATTTTAATACCTACAAGTGAATTTATGAATTTTGGATAGGATATTCTATGATTTTGAGTGATATCATTTTTATTCATGAGTATCTGGATGAGTGAGTGTAGCAAAAGATTGCAGATATTGATATCAATGTGTGGATTAAAAGAATATCACAAAAATTCATAGGACGTTCTATTTATCACATAGTTCACCTACGAAACTAAACTACAAGTATTTCAATTTAACATTCATTTATCACATGACGTCATGAAATCACCACTTAACAATACACATCACACTGGTGGGATTTTTCAAATCTATGGAAGAAATGATATCCTTGGAATATTCTCCTGATTCCACAGATATCGCTTTTCCCATGGATTTGCAAAATATCATAAATATATTTACATGTCATCATACAGATTTGACCTTAACTATGGGATAAACAGTAATATGTTTGAGGAATGTGCATCATCCTATGAACTCAAGGCTATATTTTTCAGAATAAACATTAACAAAATAAAAGTATAAGCATTACATGCCTCTCACATTCTACTATATTGAAACAAATCAAATTCTAAACCAACAAACTCTACATGATATTCATTTTGAATTTCTTGCCAATAATAATGGTGCACATTTTCACCTAGGGACTCTAGACAAACTATCCCATATATCAGCTTCAGTAATCACCGAAATGACTCCTCAATTTTCCAAAGAACTTCCCTTAAATCAGCTTCAGATTTATTTGCAATGGATGCGACAGATGAACAGAGCAAAAAATATAAAACTTGAAAAATATTTGCATTTCACCTGGAGAGTTGGAAACCATTTGGTCAAACAGAATAGAAAATAGGTGGTGTGTCGCATGATTGCTCTTTTTTGCCATGTAAATTGAAGGACAACTGCAATACCCAGAATGTAGTCAAAAATTCAGTGATGATGCTGTTCTTCTATATCTATGATTAGGTTAGTTAGTTAATTATCAGTAATGATCACATTGGATTAATTGTGAGATTCCATGTAAATGTGTAGTATTTGAACTACACCTGACCTGGATTCTTGACTGGTTACATAAACTAACGAATTCTACTATAAGTCCTACTACAGTCCTTGTAGAAATGACAAACAGTAAATAATTTTTTTTGATTCATGAATTTATTTTCATTTTTCACATACTCGATCATATTCATAATTTAATATTTACATACATTTTACAATAAAATACTTCAGTTATACAAGTCAAAATGAACATTGCATTTGATTTCCATATCCATGTTCAGCTAGGCAACACTTAAAGGATATTGTCAGATGTTTTAAATGTGAAGGATTTCTGAAAAAAACCAGCTTGAATTCAGATAATTAATTTAATAATCAGATTAATATAATATCGAAACAATACCCTTTACCTATTTAAAATCCATTTCATTTTCACCTGTACAAATAACAATTACATTCACATTTATGTACACAATTCAATTTACGACATAATTTATTATTAATATAATACTGCAATAGTTTATGGACCATATTATTCCATCTTTACACATTATGCTTTTCCATACATACACATAGACGTTTTACACAATATTACTCCTGTTTGAATTTGTTTGTTTAAAAAGTTCAGCGTTTATTCAGTACTCAAGCTAAGGATTTAAACCAGCTGGTCAAAATTATGTATCAGCTATGTATCAGCTGGTTTAAAACAGTTTTTCCTATACAATTTATACATACCTTGTATATTTCATAAAATGAAAATATCAGCTAGTCGATACAAAAAGTAAACAAGCTGATAATGACCATCAGACCAGTCCTTAGCTGAAGCCCTGGTTGTCTTCAAATACATTGTAATTTCGATTCCTATTCATATCACTAAAATTTGTTTCACTTCCTTACCCAAGAAGGCATGTTAGGCATGCAGTCAAAAATTAGGCTTAGAATGGCAGATAAGCCAATCATTCTTCAGGGCGTTCATCAAGAAGTCATTTCCACTGCTGATTCTTTATTTACTCAAACTCATTATGCCCCTTTTAGATTCACTCATTTGAATATTACCTCCAAATGATGAAACACAGTCTTTGATTGGCTAAAGGTTTAAAATACTTAAAGAAAAATAAAAGTGCTGTCCTACACAAATACTCTGATGAGAGTTCAAGAATGTGGCACAAGGGCTATAAGTACATATTTTGTATAGTAGGAATGGTAGGATCAAAGTTCACTTCTTTAAATGTATGGAAACATGAGGCAAACTCCTTCCTGATACAAGCATTAATTGTGTTATCATTGACTTGTGTTCCCATTGAGCCTTGTGGAATGTCCGTTGGTATCTTATGGTCTGAAACACATATGATTGTACTCTTAGATATTTTGCAGAGCCGAAGACATTACATGCATTCTACAATTTAACAGAAATAAGCTCTAAAGATAACTGATTAAACAAGGCATTATCACACAAAAGGGCACCACCTGCCATTTGGTACAGATACCAAATGCTGACTGCTAAACACCAGCCACCAAACGATGTGCATTGCCACAAAAAGTTGGAGACTGTAAACTGAAACTTTTGGTTAGTCCCAATGGTATTCAGATTTCAGGTTTTACTGCATATATAAGCTACATACATATTGTATATACTACATAGTGAATTTAAAAGTATTGAAAATACCCCTCCTTACCTCCGTCTCCTATTTGCAAGCACCCGTATTATCCAATGTGCGATAAATGGCCAGATGACAATGAAAAAAGCAGTACGACCATTAATTTGAGGAAAGGGCCACCAACTGGGAGACTGAAATTAGAAATATATAACATTTAGTATTTTTATGGTAGGCTGAAAAGCATATGGGATTAAATGCGTAACTGGTACATTGTGGATGTAGGCTTGCATGTAAAACAAGCACTGGTCAAGAATTCTTTCTTTTAATCAAAAGTACCACATTTACGAGATCATAACCAAAATACATGTATGCTATTTTAATGATATTTCTTTCATTGTGCCTTTTACATAAAAATGTGTAGATTATTTTATTTCAATTTCAATTTTGAAACACTCAATTGTAATATTTGAAAGAATAATTGTTGACCCTAAAGCTAAAACGATCAGTCCTACATCCTGGTGCATGGATTGAAACAGAGGTTGCGATATGGAAACAACTCAAACCTATCGAGTATTTTATGAATCATAAATTGTGGGTTTACCTGATTTCTTGCTTTCTCTTTGCGTTCTTTTTCTTTTGCTTGTGTTTGAACAACAGAAAGTGTTTCTAAAGTGTTTAGCCTGGAAAACAAATACAAAGAAATCATTTGGGAATAACTTTCATACATAAAATATATAATATTTTATTTTCGAGCAGAATGCAAGCATGCAGAATATGTGCACATTGATTGCAATGCATTAGATAATGAAAAAGAAATAAGTCATATATCAATCAATGAGAACATATTGAATATATTCATTTCAAAACATGTTTTTCATAACAATTAGGAGCCATTGCATGTGAGCTATTGATAATAAAAATCTAATCTCATTTCATAAAAAATGTTGGCATGAGATAAAAAGATGCATACCTGTACTGGTTTAATTTGTATTTCAAAATTAGTTGAGGAATCTTTTACATCTTTTTATATACCAAAAAATATCAATGTTTCCTTATTATAAAAGCCAAACAATGTCAAAAGGCATTTAAAACATCAAACAGATGCTGCCGAAAGCATTCACATTGGAGTATATAAGGAATATACAGTATAGTTTACACTTGGAATTCATTATTTGATTTTAACAGGTAAACTAACCTAGTTAAGACACTGTTCATATCCTGCTGTAATCTGACTAGGGCTGTGGCTATTTGCTCATTGACATCTACTCTATAATACTGGGGTGGTCCCTGGTCTCTACCCCCTCCAGCACCCCCACTCACTAACTGTTGCCGACCTGAGTTGAGGTTTTGTCTTTGTAAAGCTCCACCTATGAAAAAGTAACAAGGTATTAACATGCAAAATGTCACCACCTGCCATTTGTTTTAGATGCCAACCACCAGATGCTGTTACAAATGTCAAACACTAACCAGCGAACACCAAATGACGAACAATGGCCATGAAAAAGTTGGGAGACACTAACAGTTTGCTTGATTCCTTCAAAAAAGCTATATTTCAATTCCAGGTGAATCAAATCCTCCTAGATTTAAAAAATATGGTTTAAGTTTTAATCATAACAGATTTCAATGGAAATATCATTGAGAAAGAGCCTGAATTACTTTATTACCTCTTTGGTTGTATAGATTAGTAGCACCCTCTGCAGGTTGTGTCCTGGAATTGCCTCCTTCTGCCGCTGTTTCACCACCACCCCGATGTATCATAGGATCACTCGGAACACCATGAATTCCCCCTTTAGGGGCCTCCCCTTCAAACTTGGCATAATTATGATCACCAGTTTGGATAACTCCTACTGAACTGTCTGAGCTCCCAGAGGAGCTTGAGTGTCCTGGGCTAGAACTACCCTGTCCTCCAGTTGCTGTATGTGTAACTGAACTTAACTGGGTTTCAACAGTGATTGGGGAAATTCCCCTTAAATGTACATCAGCTTGTGAAGTAACTGTAGTAGCACCATCTACATAATGTGTCCCTATTGATGTAAATCCAGAATCTTTGACTGGGGTAGATGAATTGTTGAACTGACTATAATTTGCTGTTGTCTGGAAAACAAGGATCATAAACAACTGACACACATGGACAGTTATATAACATTGGAGCATTGACCATTCAATAAACAATATGCTTTTATTCAATCAATTACAGTGGGACCTGTTATACAGGAGGGTTAAATTGCTTTTGATAAAAACATGGACAAGTAAGGATTTTATGCCTGTGTAACACCTCAAAAATCCTTCACTGTGGAGTTTTTTTTGTCAAAATGCTTCATAATGAGGCAATTAAAGATGCTATGTAGGGGGGGGGCTATGTAGCTCTTACCAGTACTTGCTTTACAATATACCCAGAAAACATGAAATGCTTCTTTTATCGTTCTTTGAAATCAGTAAAATTTCAAATGTCTATAAAAATTTGAATTTATAAAGGAGCCTGGCTGGCTTACTTGATCTTCTGTTGGTTGCTCTGATGTATCACAAAACTCCTCTCCATCTGAATCCTGTGGATCAGTCACATGTTCAAAGCCATTCAAATTGATTGGATCTCCATTGACAGTTGGTGGGGCTGATCCAGGTTTAGCTGGCAGCTGGTATTGAGCAGCTTCAGGGTCAAAAGTAACAGGTTCAAGATTGTAACTAGGGACTCGTTGCAAGTCAGCATGTATGATGTCATGGTTGTTTTGTATTCCTGAGTCACCAGATGGTGTCCTGTTTCTCCTAAACTCATCTATAAAAATGCACAATTCCTGAAATTTAGTATCTTATAACTCTTTGCACTTACCACAATGTGATGGGTATGAAAGATTTGTTCACAATGGGAAAGCAAGCTAAGTTTCTTAAAATACAAAAATCAGTTTTATTTATCTTTTAACATTAATGTTTCAATAATAATATTTTACTAGAGATAACTACATCATGCAATGGACAAATCATTTGTATGACCTTCACTTCTCTCAAGTTAACACTATTGAAAACTTCATCATGGGATCATACTTAAATACTTATTCAATAGCATTCATAATCTTTAACTAGTTTCTGATAGTAAGCGTAATGTTACAATTGTTTCAAATATAAACTATTCTAGATTTTAAAAGTAATCTAACAAGGTGCATATGAAAAATGTATAAATCATTGATGATATCTCTTTAATCATCACATATCTTACATTATGTCCACATACTTAAACTTTTAAACTTTGGACTTCGTCTGGTTAAAATATTGGCACAGAAAGTGTTGACATCAAGCATCACACATTTAGAACTTGTTTTTCAGAAGTCAAAAGCATTTTTAAACATGAGAAAAATTACTCAAAACAGTAGTGTACCTGGATCAATTTTCTCTATATCATCATCACTACTGCTATTTTGTTGAACAGGACTTCCATCTCGTAACTTTTTAAAATATTTGTCTCCATTCCCAGGAAACTTAAGATCCACTAGTTCATAAAAGTCACCAAGTTTATCAATGAAATCACCGACATCTTCAGTGTGAGGCATAGTTTCTATAATCTGGAATTATATCACAATCATGTTGAGAAATTATGTTTGTGAAATATGGCATTGATATCTTTCAATCCTTATGATCAAATAAGTTTTTTTTAACAAAGCTTGTTCTTTTTACAGAAAACTCCAGACTTATTATCAATGGGAACATGATAAATATATACATATACAATGTACTCGTATGTTGGAACATTTGAAAAATATCAGTATCACAGCTTCATGGGTCATTTTTCATTACAGGTCATTTTCCAGACAAAATATCAAGGCATCACAGAATAGCATACTTTCTTACCTCTTTTAAACCATCAACATATTTAATCATAGCCTCTTCCTCATCCATCCCTTCAAACTTCATCCAAGCATCCCTGAAAAACAACATAATTCTGTATAATATATGAGTGAACACATGTATTTGACGTTCAATACATAAACATGGATACTGCATACGTTTGTATATGAGGCATTTTCACGAATAAGTGACACTTTTCGGTATTTTTTTGTAACAGCATCCTTATTTATTCAATTTAAGGTATAAAAGAAAAACAATGCTTTCTAGAAGTTGGTACCATAATGGTCTTATATGCACATCATGAAAAAATACAATATGTTGTTGCTTATTTTAAAAATCAACAAGTAATGACCCAAAATATGCTGTTTTTTGGTGTAACAAGCATTTCACTTAAATTGTGACCATGTTTACATAATCACAGAAGGGCTAATATCATAGATAGATCGACAATTCTAATACCAAGTGGTAGCTAAATCATTTATCTTTAATATGTTTTTTAAATTGTTTCAAACACTGTCATATAGCCCAAGTTGTAACCGTTTTTATATCATGACTACTCTGCAACACTTTTCCATTTTTTGGAGAGGTATTTTATGTTTTTTAGCACAGAAAATCTGTAGCTTAGTATTTTCCTTCATATATAATGATTTTGAATAGCTAACATATTCATATATAACTTGTAAAAAGCTTTTCACTTGGAATTATTTAATTAACAAATAGCGAATAAAAGTTCTGAATCATTTTTTAGGAGTCACAAACCATGAGGTGTCCGTAATGGCAAAGTTTCTACAATTTACACAGTACTTATACCTTAACTATTCTTATTTTTTAATGAAATGAACACAACTTATCAATCAAATAATAATTTAACAATGATTGACCTTTTACTTTCTGATCCAGATGCAGATATGGTGTCTGAAATGTAGTGAGGTGTCCGTAATGCTACATGATTTATCAATTCAAATTGTGAAATTAGCTTACTTTATCCCAAAAATCACTGTTGAATATTTCCCAAGTGTCTCTCTACATATGTTTATTAAACTTAAACTGGTATTGCCACTGATAATATTTGAACTTTTTTTTTACCATAAGCTACGGGGGTCCATTTTACAAACATCAGTACTGATTAAAAATGAGGCAGAAATTAATTAAAATTGATTTTAAATTCCAAGTCTTTACTAGGCATATGGAGTCCAAACTAGATTTAGTTTTTTGAAATAAATGGAAACAAATAAAAAGAATAAATAGTTTTTAAAAAACATTACGGACACCTCAAGCCTATTGATTTTATGTTTAAAGCAAAAATAACTTATTTTCAAAGCAGTAAATAACCTTTATTAGTAAAAAATGGAGAAAACAAAGTATGCAGAGGAGGAAAAAGATATTAGGTTAAAAATACAAACCAGCAAAAGAAAATAAGAGGAAACATGTACTTGAAAGAAAAATTTTAAAATGTTGCACTTAAAAGGCAATATATCTAATAGTGATATAGAGAATCCAGTCCAAAGATTTCAACGCATTGTTAACATATTCTGAAATGACTCATGAAGTACCAAAAAAGCATTGCATCAAAAAACATGATATTTGAATTCATATAAACACAATGTAGAGTGGAGATGATGAGTTTTAATCTTTTGTGACAACTAGACCAAAGAACAGCAAGTACCCAAAAACAAAGCAGCAAGAGTGCTTCAAGTTCATTTTGGATGAAAAGCATAATTCATTTTCAATTTTATATATTTATTTTAAATTGTTTGTGTCATTTGATATCCTACACCTTAAATTTTGTCGTGTAGTCAATTTTTTACCTTGCCTTGTTCTTTCCTTAAGCTTGTGTTCATTGATTTGAATTGCCTGGTTTGGCGGGTATGTGTCTTGAAGCAAGACTAATTTGTTGGACAAAACTAAAAAAGTAATATGGTTCAAATAGAACAATATTACCATATAACATTCTTGTCAAAACATGCCAAATTGCAACACAAACAAGGATATAGTATTCATTGGTGAACAGAGATATCCATAATGTTTGAGATAAAATGACTATAATTAATTAAATAATTAAATAGGACATCCAAGTGATTTCACTTCTTAAATTGTTCAGCCCAGGTACAGATTGTTTTCCTCTTGTTATCTTGCTCAATGTAAAGTATATGCTGTTAAATCATACATTTCTTTGTAAAATTCAATGTATGTCTACATGTTTATCATATACCTAGGCAAAGGGGCTAAATAAAGTTCACTCACCATACGTATTCAATTATTTTGATAAACAATTGTTACGAAAAGGTTTTGTATATATATATTTTTAAACAAAACTTACTTTTGCGACCTAAAACTGAAAAGAATTTAAAACAAGCAAATTTGAGGTGTCCGTAATGCTGTCTCTTTCATCATTTAAACATAAATTGACAGATTTTGAAACAAACACAGATAATTCAGTGGATAGCAATTGAAAGACCGTGGAATAATCCACAAAATTGGATACTTTTGTTTGGGCTGCAATGTGAATTTATCTAATAATGTGACTTTATTTTGTTAAATCTAATTCATTGGGTGAGGAGGTAGATATGTTCAAAACAAATATTACTTTTTCTTCATATTTTGCAACCAGTTGTTTTACAAAATGTGTTATCAATGATATAAGACTTAAAAAAATATGTCAGAAACAAAAATATTCCTGTTTTGAATGTTGGTTTGTGAGCATATTGAGAGTGAATTGTCCGTAATGCCAATTTCAGTACCTATAAAGATGACAGTATTTTGTAAATTTGCAGATGCGGATACTTAGGAATTTTTACATCATCAAAAGCCTGACATATGAAAGTGTAAAAATTTTCATAAACAGGAAGGAAAACTTGAAAAAATTTTTTTGACATTTTGAAATGTAAAAGTGTCACTTATTCGTGAAAATGCCTATGACCAAATAACACGTGAAGGACAACATTGCCAGACTTGCACCAGGATCAGATTATAATTCAGAGGGCTTGATACAAAATATATTCTCTTAAAAAACTATCTGTTTCTGAGATGACAAAGAAGACAGCTGTTCACTTTTTTCTTGAAATATACTACTTGTTTACCATATGTTGAAGTAATATGATTGTACACGCTCTTCATCATTCAAGAGAGGATCTATCTCCAAGAATAGATTAAATCAGACAAAGTTTGATGGCTTCTGCAGTCCTGTCTTGTTATCTTCAAAGCTACTCAGTATAAAAAATAAATGCCTAATAATAATACTTACCATTTTGCCTTCTTGACCACCTCCCAGAAAGCAGGTTTAGGTTGAGTACAGTCCCCCTCTGATGCTTGCTTGAAGAGGCCATAGAATCTGAGCATCAAACTGTAGGATGGTTGGTAGGAGCCTGCTGAAACTAGCCACAATTACAATAGTGGTCAAGGAAACGAAGCCAATACAACACTGCACAACACACTACAAATCTACATACTCTCAGTTAAAGGTGTGGTTCTAATACTAAAAGCAACACAAAATAAGATGTGTTTGAAATTTTTGAAAAGTATCAAAAGTAGCATCAAGAGTGAGATGTAATACTGTAAGCTGTACTGTAAGATGTAGTGAGCATACATGAGGCATTCAACTGGGTGGAACAAGTAATAAACGCATTAATCTTACTTCAAAGCAAAGGTCATGATAATTTGCAGAATGTATAGTTTAGTAACTGTAACCAGGATTTTGATAGCAGGTATGCAAGGCCGAAGGCCGAGCAAAACTTGGGGGCCCAGGTGCATGTGTCCCCCGGAATTTTTTTGATTTTAGACCAAAAACCATGGTGCATTCTGAGCATATCGAACTGTGTAATGGGGCAATACTCCATCATTTAGGGTACACAGCTGCCTATGCCAGGTTGTACCTGGTAACTACATGTATCTTGTGCAATATTAATTGAGCATGCAAAACAGCCAAGCTACACCGATAGCAAGGATTGCAACAACACACATTTGGTTACATATAAAAATACATTTACAGGAACAATTCTAAAGATAAAACTCTTCTATGATCTGGGATAAGCACACTAAGAAGATGCAACATTTATATTGAACACTGTATTTCAAAGAAAATTAAGTTGATTTGTGATGACTATGAGAAATATAGACGTTTGATCAGCATCTTTAAAGGCAGAATTAGATCTATAGGGGTGACAAAAGCACATGTTAGCACCTATAGGGGTAATCTAGCTACCGATTCTCAAATCTGACTTACAAGTAGTTCAACGTTGTTAAACTCAATAACGGCGTTCTTTATTATTAGGAATTTTCTTGGGGCCGTTATTGAGATCTTGCCGGGGCCATAAGACATATCAGATTAAAAACTAGGCCCAGGCTAGGTCTAATGTTGTTGGACTAACTTACAAGGAGTATTGATACAGATCCGTGAGCCCCTAAGCTGCCCTAAGAGTAAACTTTGGGGCCCCACTTCACATGCTATCTATTGCAAGACTAACGCCTGGTGTAACCGTCACCATGTTATTCGGTGTTTTTTAAGTAGCGCAAGGATCCTGCCATGACCGTGGCAGTGTTATTTTGTAAGCCTGGTATAACCGTGACAACGCTGTATTATATTGCAAGGCCTGTCATGACCGTGAGTGTTATCGTGGAAGCCTGGTGCGGCCGTAGCATTTACGTTTAATTTAAGAATTTTTTATTGTTGTTTGTTAAGCGATTTGTTTACTATCCACTTTTAAATATTTGTATATTTTATGTCTCTGGTCTAAATTTTTATTAGCGTGACACAAATAACTTGTCTTATTCTGTGTAAATGATTAATTATTTTAGAATATGCGGAAATAATGTGAATATGATGTCTAGTAGTAATTTTGATATTAACATAATTAAGGTAGTTAAACACCATGATCATATAGTGTTAAACTGTTTAATTGTATCGTATCATTATAATGACGATCACTTAAAATTGTTTAAGGATATTTCTGACATTAATATGATTCATATCTACAGTGCCCTAGTACTAGACATTGCAATACATTATCACGGACTAAGCCTAAATTTCTACATGACCACCCACATATGTGGCCTTGCAATACTATATTACATTGTCACGGTCATGGCAGGCCTTGCAATACTATATTACCTTGTCACTGTCATGCCAGCCTTTGTAATACACAGTGTCACGGTTATAGCAGTAGTCCTAATCATAAATTTCTACATCACCACTCTCATACCTGAACTTGCAATACTACATTACACTGCCACAGCGGTCATACCAAGCCTTGCAATACTACATTACATTGTCATGGTCATGCCAGGCCTTGCAGTACTATATTACATTGTCACGGTCATGGCAGGCCTTGCAATACTATATTACCTTGTCACGGTCATGCCAGGCTTTGCAATACACATTGTCACGGTTATGGCAGTCCTATCATAAACATTACATTGTCACTGTCATGGCAGGCCTTGCAATACTGTATTACATGGTCACGGCCATGCCAGGCCTTGCAGTACTATATGACAGTGTCACGGTCATGCCCGGCTTTGCTATAAACATTGTCACGGTTATAGCAGTCCTAATCATAAATTATTGCAAGGCCTGTCATGACCGTGGTAATGTTAAAGCCTAATATGACCGTGACAATGCTTATAAGGCCTGTCATGACCGTGGTAATGTTAAAGCCCCGTATGACCGTGACAATAGTTGCAAGGCCTCTCGTGACCGTGGTTGTATTTAAAGTAGCATGAGAACACTGTAATGACAATTTTTCTTCGTGTTTAACTACCTTAAATATGTAAATAAAGACTACTAAAAATATGTATTAATTTCACAGTGAAAACCTAATTTTTACTCATAAATTTGCGAACAAACTATATCTCTACTCTCATTCAAGGAGCTTCGATTCGAAAGCATATACTTTCTATAATGATCAATTAATAAGATTTATTCATAAAAAATACCAACAGCAACGGGCGAAACATGAAGGTCATTAATGTCATATAAAGGTTGCGGTTGCGCCAGGCTTACACGATTACACTACCACGGTCATGGCAGGCTTTTTAAAATAATACAGCATTGTCGCGGTTATACCAGGCTTTCACGATAACATTACCACGGTCATGGCAGGATCCTTGCGCTACTTAAAAAACACCGAATAACACGGTGACGGTTACGCCAGGCGTTAGTCTTGCAACAGATAGAGTCTCCCCCACTTTGGAACAGAGAGGGAGGTGGATTTTCTTTTCAGGACAATTCTATTATATGTTCCAGTGTATTAGTTCAACAAGTTAAACCTAGTCTGGGCCTTATTTCTTCTCTGACATATCTTGTGGCCCGCCCTAGGTTTAACTTCCGTGCCTATTCAGCCCTTGATGCAAAAAAATTTAATGGTGGCCTATGGTTCCGCATGAAATTTGATGCGCGTTTAATTAATAACTGATGGTGGGAATTTGCAACAAACGAAAGCATAGCACGGAAGTTAAACCCAACCACGGCAACACGAACATTCAGATTAAAAAATGAAAGCCGTGGTATTGGGTTTAACTTGTTGAACTACCAGTGTATGTGCTATTTGCCATGTTTTATATCACTTAATGTATTCATCACAATAATAATGGACTCTGCTCATTCTAAATATGATCTTTGAACTGGCAACTATGATTTTTATACCAATTGAAATTTATGGATATTTATCTTTATTTTTCTATTGAACCATAACATCGATTCTGAAAAATATTACACCGGACGATTATGTATAATAAGATGACAGATATGAATATGTTTTAATTGGTATAACACTTACCATTTTTGGGTAAACTTTGAATTACTTTTACGGCTGCATCAAACTTTTCTTTAGCTGTAGCCGCCATGTTTGTTTGTGACCTCTGCTAAGTCACATGACTTGGTCACATGATCAAATGGAAATGAAAGTGCAAGAATGAAAGTATAATGAACAACTTTTGCTCATATTGATATCTGAGAATAATTTGGTTTGTTATAAAATTAACACTTGATGCTGCACATCTCGTGCAAATTTCGGAAAGTAACACCATATCTATTGAATGCCCTTCAACGAATGGTCATTCCAAATTGAACTGTGTCAAGGGCTTAATCCTAAATTCATAACTGATTTTAGGAAACAACGCAAAGGAATGGGTATTCCACAATGCATTGAGTCTTGGGATTAGATTATTTTCACACATTGCAAAATATTTTCTACCATGCCATTTTCCACCTTTCCAAGATACAAAATCACTAAAAGGACATATTTTTCAATGAAACTTTTTGCAAGGGTCAAGTTGGCAAAGCATCAATTTCAATTTGTAGAATGCAATTCTCACCTTGACAACCATTGACAAACATTCAATGGATGTGGTGATCTAGAATTGGACACACCTTGTATAGCTATGTGTGAAACCATCACCATCTTGGCAGAGGAAAGTAAGCAGTATGTACATTTGTAATATAAACATACTGTATATATGTAGCAAGATAAATGAAAACAAGATGGTCATTTATTGGCAAATTTCAACTTTTCCTAAACAATGAAGACAAAAATCCATAGTATTTTTATGTATTGTATAAAGTCAAGGCAGTTTTTACAAATAAATTTTGAAGCAGGGTTCAGGCGAACCCCCCTGGCCAAAAATTCTTTCAAAATCATACAGTTTTTCACCATTTTGAGCACTTCTCAAGTGATTTTAGCCATATTTGGGCCAAGATTTTCAAATGTAAACCCCCCCTGGAAATCTTTGAAAACTGACCCCCCCCCCCCCCCCCCCCGACTTATTCTGGCTACGGGCCTGATGTTGTTGTTGAGATGAGGGGGGTCCCAAAACAAAGCCCCCCATGTCCAAAATTAGAATAAAATAGTAAAGGTATGCCCTATTAGAAATTATCATTTTTTGGTCACATTAGAAGCAAGTAGAAATAATTTTATAATATAAGCATATTTTATTGAATAAGAATATGTTTTATTCTTTAATTTTGATGACATTATGTGTATCAATTATACAAAAAATAATAATAACAATATGTTGAGATGTTAGCACTGAGGTGTCATTATGTACCAGTTAAATATATTTTCAAAGTACAATAAGATTTTCCTATAAAAATAGAAGTATTATAGTACATGTGATTTTAAAATGATGCATCCAACCCCAAAAACAGCCAACAATCATTCCAATCCTTGTAATTTATGTAATTGCAATTTTTATTATTTTTTGTTCAACACATGGATGCTCAAACATCAAAGGCATGAGGCAGGCATTGTATCTGCCTCTCTAACATAGAAAAATATATTTATTTAGATTTTTTTCAACTTTACAATGGAAATGAAGTCTAAATGTAGCAATACAGCTCATTTAACCTAAATATGCCATGCCTAATTTCTATCCTGGTTAGGCCCCTGAATAAATATGTGATCATGGCATCATTACACAGATTCATAGCTGGGATCTTTAAGATTCAGTATCTGATTCTGTAGATTGTTCTGTATTGTCTGTAACAATGTTACTATATGCTGTTGTCTCGCCTTCCCTATCTTCTTCAATTTTAGCCAGAGATGGCCGAGTCTCTGTGTCACTGGTATCTGTTAATGATGTAATACCTTCAGAATCTGCAACATAAATCATTAGGACATTAGTTTTATGGATGTTCATCTTGTTTTTGTTTTGGGAAACTTGTGCAAAAGCACCCATGGATTAAATGTTTTTGGATTTTGATCTTATAACTCCAAATGTTTCAAATCAAATACAGTGATTTTGAGGCACAAATATCAGGATCAATATATACTATATATCTTAATCTCCAAAAAACTTATTTGTTTCTAGTCTATTGTAAAAAAAACAGCGTTTGTAGCCTGTGTGTTTTCTTAATTTTCCCCATTTTATGTTTAATCTCCATCAGTAAAACGTTCATTAAAATAAGGCTCACCTGATGTAAGTGCTTTGTCAGAATCCTCCCCTTCAGGCTGGGATTCTGTCTTTGATTTATCAGATGTGTCCTTTATTGTCTCAGCACTGGCACTAGCTGCACTCTCTGCAGCCTTCTCACTTTCTGTGGGAGTTGGAGGGGGCACATAGGGTGGTGGGTAGATCACCTCTACTTGCTTTTGAAGATCCTGAAATTGAAACAATCCACCTTCATTAATAATTTTACTAAACATCATAATAACAAATTAGGGCAATGTACATAGAATATATACAATGAGACAGGAGTGGAAGCAAGTACACCAAGTACCTATTGTACAATTGAAATATTTTTGTATGATCTAATGAGATTATTAAAACAACATCTGACTGTACACGTCAATTTTGTTAGATGCTTACCTTAATTATTTCTGTAAGTTTATTTTTTGTTGTTTCTCCAATATCAATGTCCTGCACCACATTCCAGTAACCTTTGGGAGACATAGCAACTGGGAATGAACAGACCAGGCCTTCAGGGACACCATACCATCCTAAGTAATATACAATAGTTTAACATGATTCAAAATAGCTTGAGACAACATTCATGCAAGATAGCAAATCATGAAAGTTATTATTAATTATAACATTTTTGCTTTGAACACTTCCACTGGGACTCTAGATGTTATGATGGTGCTTTTTACTTTTCAAAACATAATTTTTCAAACATATCAAAGCAGCCTAGAAAAATTGAAAAATATGGTTGACACTGTAAGAATAGAAAAAATATTTTGGATAAATTACCTTCAGAGTATACTCCCAGGGAGAATGTCTGTCCAGGTGGGGATCCATTCCACCATTGTGTCATAGCAGACACTATGGCTGCTGCCTGGGAGAAGTGTCCTCCATGCTGTAACATTGTCTCAACATTCTCTTGCCTGGTTTTCAACAGTTCGACAAATTCTTTCTCAAGCCACTTATCATCATGAACCATCTCTGCACAGTCTACAGAAAAGGAAGGAGGCCCCCATATAGCCCCATCATAGCCATGGATTCTAGTTTTGGTTAAATCACAGTAATATGTTCCATTTGAGTCACCCCATATTGTCACATTTACTACACCATTAGAGTTCACTTCTAACCTTTCAGCAAGAATAGCTTTAGCATGGTTTTCAACAAGTCTTGGTAAGGCAACAACATTTTGTCTTGGTATATTGGGCATATATTGAATCATCATGTAGGCATTGAAGTTAACGGGTCCATTACCAGAGATTAGTACTTTAACGTCTCTTTTAGCTACCTCATTAATAGCCTCAGCGTAGTTGGTAATATTACGCAAACACCTTTTTATCCAAACATCAAATTCTTCTTCTGATTTTTGACTAAAATCATCCAAGATTATTATTGCGCTGCAATTTGTGAAAGCTTTCCTACTGTCACTCATAGATGTTATGTTTCTCAATAAAGTATGAGCCAAGTCCATCGCTTCCATCTCAACACCTTTAAGATATTCCATCTGCTCTTCATTATCATACAATCGGAGATTGACTTCAATATCCGAGCCAAATACATCCCCTCTCGCAATAGCGTCCAGCATGTTGTAACAAATATGGCTGGATGCATTAGTGATACAAATTTCCAGTGGCTTACTAAGACTCTTGAACTGTCTATCTTCCTCATCGAGCTCATTCTTGTACTTCATGTTTTCATCAGAAACCTTCTTCATGTCATCACTTGTCATATCAGAAAGGATGCCATAGTAACCGTTTGCATATTCTTGAAAGTCATTCACATCTCCAATCAGGGTACCCTTTCCCCCCCTGTCAACTAGCTCCCGCCATACTATTGGAGATTTTCTATGCATCCAACCATGTTGTTTACATGTATTGTCCAACCATGTCTAAAACATAAAGTATTTATAAGATTTACAGCAACTAGATTACCTATTACATTGAAGTGGTATCCCACGGGTGAAAGCTCAATGAAACGGTATCTATGCTACATGTAAATGAGTTTAAAATAACTTGCTATGTTTTGGTCTTTCCATTTTGGCACTTGTGCTAACATGTTGTACATACATCTGCACATGTATTTAGATAAACTAGAACATGGTATAAAGAACATGTATGCCTTGTCTATTCATGTTAGTAAATATCAAATCAATAAAATGTATAACCTGCCAATCTCCAGGCTGCTTCACTATTTTGTGGAGTTTAAAGTCGTCTAGGTTCCTTTCAAGCTTATCTGCTAGAAGTTCAGCTCTTGCATAGTAGGGACAGTTTGAACTTCCTAATAAAACAAAAATCAAAACTGTCAGCAAAATGACACAAATGATCAGCCAAAGTTGTCAAAAGTGAAGCCCTTGGAATTTTTCAAAAAGTGAAAATCCTGGGTTTGTGCCTGTGATCCAGTAGACTATATCCTATTTAGTCTGAATTATATTCAGACTATAAGGCACCTATGTTAAAGTTTGGTAATATGAAATATTTGTTTACATAGGAAGTGCTATTCAAAATGGCCAATTGGTAAAATTAATTTGCACATTTGTTACTTCAACTAGCTTTATTTCCACTTAACAATATGCGGTGATACTTTTTATTGCATTTAATTGTACCTTACTATTTAATTGAAATTTTGTAATGTTTATTTTATTGAAGAAATGGTTCCTCTAATTGATAATTTTGTGAAAAAAAATTCACTGCAATTTCCACAGGAAAAAAGTACATCATAACAGACTGACTTCTAGTCAGTCTGTTGGATACATACTATGTGATCCAGTGGATATATAAGTACAGTACATGGACAGCCGTAGCCTAAGATTATCTTTTGTCAGGAATAGACTTTTCTTACCCCACTGAGCTTCAGACAGGCAGAGTCACAATCAGATCACAGGATCTTGTAGCACGTTTATGATGACTGATATGGGGCTGCCTGATATCATAGTGCTACATGTCTCTGTGAATCAGATTCAGAATCTGTGTTTTATGTTTGGATAAGAGAAAGGTGATCCAAGAGATAATTAGTTTACCACCACCTACCATTATGCTACCAGAGCTTACTTAGTTTGCACAAAGCTATCTCCTGGGGGATCTATCTAAAGATTGCTCTGTCTGTGCAAATGTGTATTGTGTTTTTGGAAATCAACTGAACTGGATCGATTTTTGTAGATTAGTTCAATTATTAGGGAATTCATCTCCAAAATTTTAGATTAATAAAGATACTAGCATAAAATGAAGAAAACTGTAAAATGGGATCGATATATTAACATGGTTATCACCGATAAATCTCTGATTGAGTTAAAATTTTCACAAACCTGCGATCACAAATTTCGCCATCTTGTTTACGTAACCAGTAGCAACGAGATTCTCGTATCTTAGTTTTATTAATTTTATTGATATTGTTTTAAGGCTTTTACTACATATTGAAATATATATTACTTCATTTAAAAAGAAATTAACATTTTTCAGAATAACATCTCTTCCTAGGAAAACAGAAAATAGCAATTTAATTTGGATATCACGAAATTACACATTTGCATCTCATTTTAAAAACCAATCAACATGTTAAAGCTGTCTTAATAGTTATTAAATCTATATTTATACCAACTAGCGAAATCATAATCGAAATGAACATTATGAATTTTCTTCTGAATTGACAATGTTGAACCCAAAGTTAAATGTAAAATTTCGTGATTGTATCAATGTCAGCCTCACTCTCCACGTGCAAGATGGCGAAGAAAATCAAATCTGGAACGTTGCCTCAAACCATCTCCTTAGAACCTGGCCTCCAAAAAGAATTCAATAAAACAGTAAAAGAAATCAAAGATAATGTAAGTACCTACAATTATTTCGATATACATCCTCGGATGATTGTGCATTTTGACATAATCTGATAATACAAACTTTTGCCAAACCCGTAGTATGTATCCAACAGACCGAATATTATATTCGGTCTGTTATGATTGATACCCCTGGCATGGAAATGTCGGCGATATTTTGTGCACATAAATATCTCGTTTATTACAAGAATGTTCACCTTGAAAATTGGTGAATATGTTGAAAAGATGTTCATCTTAAACTAGAAGCAAAAATATTTGTATAAGGCGGGTACAAGTTGATATAAAATAATGAAATGTTCAGACTCACCAAAAGTTCAGGATGTGTTCATAAGTACATCGCGAAATCAATGTCAAGGACGTTTTGAGTTCACGAGATCCAAACGAGATATGCAAATTTTTGAACTTTGACAACACATGACCACTTGATTACCTCGGCCTTCTTCATGAATATTGCCGCTCTATTTACTATAAATGACGAGATTAATCGGGATAATGATAATAAATGACTAGATCTAATAAATTCCCGCACAAATGGAATTTATCAATACGCTTCCGTAATGTTGCTCCGTCAGTTCCACGTGTTATTTGTTTACAAATAGACTGACGTCACTGGCTAAATCTCGTTTATCGTGAGAATTGGCATTGCCAAAATGGCTTGACCTAATCAATGGCTTCGCTACAAGAAGCGTCTGTACATTTTATGAATATCTTCAGTAAGAGGACAATATACGAAAAAATAATATTGAAAGTTCTTTATAAGGTAATCATTTTATCATTAAACAAACTTATTTGTAACATTTATACAACACCACATTTTACAATATGTGACTTACAGTCTGAATTTATTCAGACGAAGGATACAGTCTAGCCAAACCCGGAAGTTCATTTTTTGTGTTTTTCAGAATTATATTCAGAAATCAAGAAGGATTGGCTCCCAGGGTCGAAATTCGATATTTTCCAACAATGAAAACGTCGAAATGTCGTAGTTTTCTAAGATTATAACCGAGTATAAATTCATATTCAACAGTCCAAAAGATTCAAACCAATATCTTGATCATTTGTTGTGAGTTTGGGATATCTGATATCATAGGCCCCGGGAACATGTATAAAATAGCGAGTCGACATCTGTATTACTACTTCTTCTTTTAGGTGGTCATCCCCAACCAGCAATTATGAATATGCCAACTTTCGATGGTTAATTGTGCAAAGATTATCGCTTTTCATTGGGTTTTATATGATTCTAAAGTAAGATAAACTACTAAATAGTAACTTACGGTATGAATCATCACAGATATGCGAACTTTCACTTTTTATTGCATCGGTTAGCAAAATACGCGCTTTGAAATCTGAGGGGACCCTGCCGGAAGTTGAATAAAAACAGAAAAAATAATCTCTAACTTTAAGTTTTAATTATACTCATGTGTTACAGATTGGAACTGTTTGATAAATATATATTAAAGGTAAATAATTTCAGTATTGACTGAATACACGAAAAGCTTAATTATAGTAAAAATGTAGTTTGATATAACGTTACTTAACTTTGTCATTATGCTTAAACCAAGGTGTCACTCCTGTAAATCATTGAAAAATATTGAAAACATTGAAAGTACTTGGCCTCAGCTTTACATACATACCTCAAATGGCCACATTGCATACACTTTAACCTACTATACACACCATAGAAGTTGGCATGGCTTCGTTTTTAAAGTATTAAAAACACCGCAAGTGGTATTTACCGGAGTGACACCCCTACCAGCTATGACAAAAACAAGATGGCTGCGGGTCCAGACAAAATTCGAAAGGGAATGATTTGGAATTAACAGGTGATTTAAAGCTAGAGATAGACAGTATAAAAATTCATTAATACACACAAAAGTTGAACGAAGTATCGATCCTACTTTTGAGTGATAATTGGTAAGCTGGCAAAGCTTAAAATTCGCGAATCGGACCTTAATGCAGTAAGATTCTGGTTGGGGATGACCACCTAAAAGAAGAAGTAGTAATACAGATGTCTACTCGCTATTTTATACATGTTCCCGGGGCCTATGTCTGATATATTGTAAGGAAATAAGACCAAAATTCATGATTCAAATGTTGAAAAGAACAAAATGGTGGCTGTGTGAATTCAAATTTTTGTATCATGATCATAGGCCAAGGGTAAAGTAATAGTAAGCCGTATATAGAAAAGACAGGTGAACAACTCTGACTTAGACCACTTGTTAAGATGGAGATTTCAACAATATTTAGTGTGTTATTTTCAAAAAGCCATGGGGAGTTGATAGAAAATTGATAGTTTGTAGCTCTTACCTAAGATTGAAACTCATTCAGATGATATAGAGTGAATAATGCTGTCTAAAAGAGAGAATTTCTGAAAACCTGCAATTGCTTGGAAAGTTCATTAGTAAACAAGTGATCTGATCAAATAATGCTGTCTAAAAGAGAGAATTTCTGAAAACCTGCAATTGCTTGGAAAGTTCATTAGTAAACAAGTGATCTGATTGGTCACTGCTGACCTCCCTGACCTCCACCAGTGACAATCAGTTTCAGCTTGCCAGGCAATTGCAGATATCCATAGTTGTTGTTTTATATGCAGTATTATATGCAGTCTTTAGATAAAGATTTGAAAAAAACAATGATATAAGTTTCAAAAACACTTTGAAGAAGATTTTGGAGAGATTTGGGAATACAATTTGATACCAGTAAGGAGAACTAGTGCCAAAACTAAAAAAAATTGAAAATTTTCAATCTTACTTGTGGACCTGTCTCTTCTATATACAACTTACTATTACTTTTCCCCTGGCCTATGATCATGATGGGACTGAATATCGATGTTGAACTCTTGGAGCCAATCCTCCTTGTTCACAGACTATGGGAGTGTTCTGGCGAAAGAAGAATCCCAAGTTTACGAAGATGGATATCACGAATGAAAAAATGAAGTTTTAGTAAAATTTTAAATGTTGGGAAGTACTTTGAATTAAAAAAATAAACAAACCAAACTGTATTTCCTGGCCTGACTCCGGTATAACACACATTTCAATGAAACCCTATCACCTTTGTTGCATCAACCATAAAGGAAGCATCAAAATATAAGAGGACACAGATATAATAGCTAAACTACAAGCACATTTTACTAAGATAGACAAAAGTTAGGACATGTATAAGGTTTCTATTTTTACATTTACAGTTTCAATATGGTCCTTAATGATTGCTTATTTTTTAATTCAAAGTACTTACAAACATTTAAAATTTTACTGTACCTTTTTTATTTCCTGAATCTCTCCGAAATCACTGTAAAATAGAAGTCAATATTCTATTTATCACTTTGACTTCCTTAAATAACAAAATGATATGCTATTACCTACATACCAATATGTTCCACGACCTCATGCAAACTTGGTTACCTAGTGAAATCAGTCAAACATGACAAGTGAAGGCAGTATGGTAAGGAAGGAAATTTGAATCCAAAAAATATTCCACTTGTTGTAGAAATCATTGTGCCTCATTACGACATGAGTTTCCAAAAAGGTAGACTGCTGTTTTGTCTCTATAAAAATTTGTGATTCTGTTCCAAAATTTGTCTCTTAGCTTCTATGATACGTTATTTTGCCATAATTTTCTCTTAAATGAAAGAGTTGCATTCTTTTTACAAAATTACCGATGTAGGTCATAGATAGTTCCCATGTGGGCAAGTTTACTACGCACACCTCATGTTAATATTAAATTGGGAGAAAATGTGACTTACTTTGAAAATAATAATTTTCTTATATCGTATGTAACATCATGGGCTTTCAACTAGAATGGTAACATTCACTAGATTGTTTATTATCCCATCGAACAAAGTTCGGAGGGATATAGGGAATGCCTCCGCCCGTGTTATAGGCCGTGTTCCCAAGGAAGCAGGTGTTTGATGGGATTTGCTACGCTTTGGCGTTGCTGTTGTCTAGTTAAATTTATATTTGTAATGGATATCTTTTGTTACAAACATATTCAAGCAAGTGTGTAAGAAACTGCCAAAAATAAGTTGAAAAGGATATTGACATTTTATCCTAACCTCTTTACTGGAAAGTCCATGTGACTATTAGGCCCTGGGGACATAAAAATCGGCAGTTATACATGTTATTATATACAATTTATCAATAAATAATTTTTTTGATTCAATTTTTTCTTCCTGTGCATACTGCCTTCATTGTCATGTTTGGCTGATTTCATAATATAACCTAGGGTTGCCAGAGGTTGTGGAACATATTGGTATGTAGCTACGTGGTAATAGCATATCATTTTGTTATTTTAGGAAGTCAAAGTGAAAAATTGAATATTGACTTATACTTTAGCTCATCTTTAGTGTGCATCCAACTGACTGAATGAGATTCTGTCTGTTATGATTGATATTCGTCACATGGAAATCGCGGCCATATTTTATACACATAAATTTCTCGCTTTATTATAAGAATGTTTAAAATGTTAACTCACCGAAACTTAAGTTTGATGTGTTCATATTTTTTGCTTCCCTCATAACAGTGGATTATATAAAAATGGACTGAAATGGACTGAAGCCTGGATTTGCTTGTTTAAAAATTTTTTTTAATGTACCATTTTATTCTGAGCTTCAAAAAGTGAAATCCCATTTTATGCTGAGCATAAAAAGTGATACACCATTTTATGCTGGTATTATTACGGAAGTGATGTTTAAAGCTGCATATTTTGAAAAAACAATAATAACAGTAATGAACAAATGGGGAAAATGCTATGCAGAAATATTCATGATAAACACTAAGAGTTTTGTTTTCACATTTTACCAATTAGCGATTGTCAGGAAGGTTATGTCAAGGTTGTGAACTTTTTTCCTTCTTTTTAACATTTCTCCTTACTCTGACGACTTTTAGATGAAAAACGTTGATATATCATCAAACAATATCTTGAGGTATAACATTATATCAATTTCCAATGGTCTCTTGTGGAATAATAAAATAATAATATTAAAGATAATCGGCAAAAACAGATCTTTCTTCAATGCGTGGAGATCTATTTGGTCCTTCCCTTTCTCTCTCGACATATTTCGGAATACGCCGAAACCAATCAAAATCCCAATATCGAGGTATTGAGTTTGAAAGTATTGATGAAAATCAGTGAAATGCAGTAAAAGTTACCTTGAAGCAATTTTTGTGTCTGTAAAAATGGCAAAAAACGGCATTAACATGAACACTGAATCTTTGTAGAAAATGGCATTGCAGGATAAGTCAAATATTTTACACAAAAAATATTTTTCCATGTATTGTAAAGTATGATCTTTGTCAAGTACTTTGGCTTGGGAAAATAAGAAATTTATGATATTCATCCTTTGTCTACTTACCAGTATGTGATGAATTATTGTGATATGTCCTTTGATGCCCTAGGTTACATTGTGAAATTCTGCCCAACCCTCAGGAGGATTATCATGCTATTTTTTTTATTTTGCAGACTAAAGGTACAAGTGGGCTTACAGGGGTCATCTACATAGGACACGTTCCACATGGATTCTTTGAAGAGCAGATGCGACAATTTTTCTCACAATTTGGACACGTCAACAGAGTTAGGATTGCCAGAAGTAAAAAGGTGAGGACCTCGAAAGTGTTATAGTAGTGTGCGTCGTGCTAGATAAAGTTCATCATCTATAAGTAAATGCACATGCCTTCTACGTCATAAAGCCTCGTCCACTAGGGGTGCTGCGAGCAGTTGGTAGAAATATCACATTTTGCCAGTTAATTTACACATAGTTCCCTGGTAGTTGATGATGTCCTTAATGTATGCATATGTAATGATTTGTATATATGAGGGTTATGTTATGGGGGGGATTTGGAATCTGGATATGGGGTATATTCAATATGGTGAAATTCTACACTCGTTGGACAGAATGTCTTACAAACCATGAACCGAAGATGAATGATTATTTATTCCGATTCAAACTTAAAAATGAAAGCATTGTTCAGAGAATTGGGGTCCATTAAATAGCCAAACTTGATGTTATTTTCGCCATTCATAGGTGTGACTTCGCAATATATAGATACCCTGATGATTGAATAGAGCACGTCCCTGCATCTATGGAGAAATAGAAAACATTCATTATTGGCTATGCTGCATTCTGATTGGTTGAAAATTCAATAAGAATTAGTAATATTGCTTGCCTACATGTAGATAAATTTCCCTTCCTTGTACTTTCAGACTGGTAACATCAAGGGTTATGCATTTGTTGAGTTCCTCTATGATGAAGTGGCAGACATTGTGGCAGAAACTATGAATAATTATCTCATGTTCAACAAATTATTAAAATGTAAGTATGCAGTACACTGGTTCTTGAAAAATATTTTTCGTATCAAATAGGCATTACGTCTTGTAAATTTGTTATATACATGTATTCATGTCATAAAACAAGTTGCTGTTGGTGAATATAACCCCTTTGACTGTTTGACAACAGTTGGACTTCCTATTTTCTCGCTTATTCATCATACAAACGCTGTCTTTGTTTACTGTATTTCTAATTTTTCTACCCTGCTGCAAATAGTGCCATATACACCACTGGTCCCCAGCTTGATATAAAGACATTATGTCCTTCTGAGGAAACATTTATTTTCATCATTTTCCCAAAGAAGGAGGTCGAATTGTATCCAAATATTTTACCCGAATGTTATTAGTAACATCCGATTACTGAAAAGCTAGTCAGTCACAAGCAAATATATCAAACACTTCAAAAATCGAGTGAAAATTCCTCACTTCAGCAACTAGGACATTATCTGGTGAATTTCATGATGGTTGCATTGTTTTATATCCTATTATTGTCCTGGTCGCTAAAATGAGGGGTTTCATGTATAAACTTATGACTGATTCACTTTTTCGGTATCCGGATGTTACTTTTTACGTAGGGGTAAAATGTTTCGATACAAATCGACCCCTTTCTTGTTGAGTACTTGTATGATGAAAATACAAGTTTCCTCTGAAGGAAGTTCATCCATTTTGTTATAAAGACCTGACATCTTTATAATCAGTTGGGGACCAATGATACATGTATTATAAAACTAAAGGAATATTTATAAATCTATCAGTTGATCTCATCTCATCATTTTCTTTTTAATTTCAGGTGAACATATTCCAGCTGACAAAGTACATCCAGACATGTTTAAAGGTGCAGGGAGAAAATTTATGAAACCCAAGGCACATAAGGTTGCAATTACCAGATATAACAACATGGTCTCACTTGAAAAACAAAAACAAATAATACCTAAAATAACAAGGAAAAATGCAAAGAAAATGGCAAAGCTTAAAGAGTTGGGAATTGACTATCGCTTTGATGGTGTGGTAAGTTTAACATCATCCTGATATCCCTTATATAGCTACTACCTCTAGGGCCTCTTAATTATGTCTGGGAGAATATTGCTTTCTGAGCTATTCTTATTCATTTACTTATTTATTTATTTTATTCTGCCAGAGCATTATCTCCTACTTCCAGGTTGTAATGAAATACTGTACTCCCAGTTAATTACCATGTTTCAATTTGGCGAATTTTAAGAAAACATGATTTTGCGGCTATTAAATTTCACTAAGTACACCTATAACTCTGTAATCTTGCTCAACGACACGTTGCACCTTAACCTCTATTACATCATAATTTTAATTGTAACAGACATTGTTATATAGTATCCCATTTATCGCCTAAAAGCACTTGACAAACACGAAATGCAATGGAGTCACAGATAAAGAGAAAATTTCACAAATACTGTGGGATTTTATTGACGATTTCGTGAAGATTAATTTTAGCGATTTTCCACAATCGCGAAAAGCGTTTATCTCACCCAAAAAAAACCGAAGTAGAGTATATGCTCAACTGAAAGAGCAGTCATGCTTATATCAAGTAATAGTTGGATTTAATTACGTGTGGGTGCATTTATAACATGATTTGTTGCTGATAGAGTGTTGTTCAACTGTTAAGTATCAAGATTAGGACCTGAATTTACATTATCTGACTGATCACTTTTCTGACATTACAGTGTTCATTTGCATTTATTCCGACCTAACATTTGCATTAGACACAGCCTTGGTCAAGTGTATGTATGTTTAGAGTAGTAAGCACATGAACATAGGACTTGAAACAGCTACATGATTGACTCAACAAGATCGTAAAATGTACAAAAACAAGATTGTTCGGTAAAAAGATAACAAAAGATTTATCGGCATAAAAGAATTAAAAACAACACCATGATTCGAACCCTGATCTAATCGGTCGGTCAAAAAGTTCACCATAATGATACCAATCCTTCTAACAGTCAATGTTGATGTTATATATTATTTATTTATTCATTTACATTCCTCTATCACTTTATTTTTGAATTGTATCTCCGAAGCAGTTGAACTGGAATATGATTTTAATACTGGCATACATTCATTGAAATCTGCCTGTATTAATTTCAACAGGTGGTCGATGTACAAGGGCATACATGAGAGTTATTGGTTCAGTGATAAATGTGACCTTTGAATGGGTAATTTTTTATGTATGCTTGAAACAAATACTCCAATGGCCTTATCTCAATTTTCCTCCGTGCAACTTAACATTGAAATGGTGGTCATCTGTTCTATAAATCCGGATCACACATGTAACTGAGTAACAATTCAATAAGGCATTTCAGAATTGCTATAATCACTACATGCCAGTGATTAGACAAAATCATGATTAAAATGACAAAGTTTTTACCTGTTGCCAGATTTCCTTCCATTATAAAATAAATGTTTCTTCTTGTTGCAGAAGATTGAGAAGAAGAAGCTGAAGTTAAGCAAAGGTGCAGATGATGGTAAACCATTAAATGATACAGTGACTGTAACTGATGAAGTTCCTATGGAGAAAATTCAAGTGCTTTATGATGATGAAAGTGAAGATGAAATCACATTTAAAACACCACCTCAGACTGTTCGTACACCCAAGCCTAATAAATCAGAAAAATCATTAAGGAAGACTAAGGGGGATAGTGGATCACTCATAAAAAAGACATTAAGGAAGAGGAAAATTCAAAACTGATGAAGTACTTCATGTGGCTTAAAGGAAGTAAGAAGATGTTGTATTTGATAAAACAATATTTCATCATCTATTTTAGTCAACCTTACTATAGTACTACACCATCCTAGTATTTAATGTTAAAGATGAATGCTAAAATGTTAATTTAAATCTACATCTTGGAAAAATAAATGAATATGAATGCTCTACATGATGTGTCTGTAGTGTTTATAGATGTCGTTTTGAAGATGCTAGCTCCCCTGCTTATTGTCCAGGGGTTAATTTGTGGAAAGTCAGGGTTCACTCATTTGTGAGCTCTGTAAGACCATATATATGGCTAATATGAATTTTGGATTCAGTGAATATATTATATTCCAATCGGCACAGTTTAAGAAGGGATATACAAGTAGAAAGCCATTCATTCTTCCATCTATACATTTGTCCATCTGAATCCATCGCTGTCTGGGCAATAACTCAAATACCAGTTGCTGATTAGGTTCAAAGGATGAGTCTGGATATATGCTCTTTTGGTCCCTCAGTTAAATGTATGTGAAATATGATTTTTATAACTGTCCTGGTTATATTTGTTAAGTATACAGTTGGGGACAAAAATAAATGACAGGTCGATTTTCGATCACCATTTCCTAATTATGGTCGTCTGAAAGCCCATAATTTCCAATATTGTCTAGATACATATCCCTTAAAATTTGTATATTTCACATTTTGTATAATCTCATCCACTGATGTATGGCCTCTTGAAAATTCTCTTATTTTTAACATGGGAAATTCTCACTTCAGCAAATCCACCTGTCATTTATTTATGTCCCGAACTGTATTTACTTTTTTACGAGTTTTGATGCATAATTAACCCCCTGCTGAGAGTCAAAATAAGTATCCTAACAGAAAACAAATAATCATTATCAAAGAAAAAACACCAATTGCAACATGTATGACATGTAAAATAGAAATAACTTAAAGACCCATGAAGAATTTTTTGAAAAAATCATATTTTTAAATATATTTTTGGATTTAATTTTTTTCAAATTTTTGAATTTCCTGCCAGTTTAATTTGAAGTTGGAAAAGCAAGATGGCTGCCATTTTGTATAAGAAATATCAGAAAAAAGTAGCTTCACTTCTAATTTTCACAATGAGCACAATTTTCCGGTTTGGGTTTTTTGACTCTTCATCATGTTTAGAGATTATAAAATAGAAACCAAAATATTGTGCTCAGCATGAATTTGACTGAAATATGTATAATTTCACCAACACAATTGAAACGTCAAAACTGGATGCTCAGTAACTTTGAGTGACTATAATCCCTTGATTACTCGGATAAACACCAATTCACTTAATATCAAGAAATACCAAAATGCCTATACAAAGAAAGCAAGCAATGTTTTGGAGGATATCTTTCGAACTTTTTGTATAAATTATCCATTAAGTATTTGCACTTAAATTTCAATATATCCATAGTCATATTCATTCTGTTTGATGTCAATATTCTTCATTAATTGTGATACAAAATATTTTTTATCCTCTCAGAAGAAGGTTAAGATATTGAAGTTTAATAATATGTGTGATTGAGTTGGTTTTTCAGACATTACAATTTTCACTATTTTCTAAGTCGATATCCAGACTCATTCCCAGACTCATCCTTTTATTGACTGATGTCTTCTGGGAATGGGACACCTGCTCTTGAAGCATTTCAGTATGGTCACTCAATTCAAAATGGCCACCATTTTTTATCAAAATGTAATCATCGATAACTCAAGTTAACACCATTCATAGATTTATACATATCAATTCATATCTTCTCAAAATGGTTGCGGAATTCAAAATAGCCATCATTTTACCTACTTACCTAAACAATATTCTTTATAGGTTTTACGATCTCTGAGAAGATTTTTTCCAAAATGGTCTCCAAACTCAATTTTAGAATATTTTGGGCTCAAATCATTCCTTGTCATGTTTATTTTCTAAAAATCTTCAGTGCCTACTTTATTTAAGGAAAATTAAGTTTTTACAATAATGTGTTCTTTTCTCTATAAATTTCTTACCACATTCATTAATTTGGGAGAATTTTTACAAAATATAACTTCCTTGAACTTGAAGAAACATATCCTTTATGTTAAGTAAATTCAATTTTCCATCTAATTTGTATTTTTGCAAGAACTCGGATAGATCCATGGATAATGAGCACTAAAAGTCACCAAAATCACGATTCATCCCTATTTAAATCGGGATCTGACAGGTGAGGAAATGTTATATATTTCATGCTTTCTTCAAAATAATGTTGGGAACATGCATATAATACCGATCATTTTGATATTTTTCTTTATGATTTCCTCTGGTTCTAGGGCCCTGGTTGTTATCTCCAACTGGGAATTTATTGCCATTCTTTTAACAGCACCGCATCCTGATTCACCTAGGAAACACCGCTTCAGTACACCGGGGCGTATTGAAACCAAAACGCCCCGCAAAACCGTTAATTTGAATTTCAAATCTACCCTGTCTTTGGAAAATCAATGATTTTGAGTCTCACACCACACCGTTTCTCTTCAAACTTGTTCCATTAAAACCTTCACAGAAATACATTTCAGTCGAGACATTGCTTTTGTTTACTAAGTTCCTCGTTTTAGCGGCGTTTTGGTACCCAGATGTGAGAAGATGCAAATCTTCAGAGATTTCAACCAAAAGCCTCGATATCGCCAGTTCTTTTATTATTCTCCCCTATATTTTGCACAAAACTTTACGTCAGTTCGTTTGCTCGTTCTTTAGGTCAGTTCGTTTGCTCGTTCTTTCGTCTGTCCGTTCGTCGTTCGTTCGTTTGTTGGTCCTTCCTTTCTTACGTCTATTCGTTCATGGTTCGTTCATGCTTTCATTTATTCGTCTATCAGTTCGTTCGTCCATTCCTTCATTTTTACGTCCATTCGTTCGTCCTTTGTTCTGCGCGTTCGTTTATTCGTCTATAAGTTCATTTGTTTATTTGTACGTTTGTTAGTCCGTTCGTTCAGATGTTCGTTCGTCGTTCTTCCGTTCGTTCGTTCATTATTTCGTGCGTTCGTTCAATCGTTCGTTTGTCCGTGTTCGCTCGTTCATTCGTTCGTGTTTACATTCGTTCTTACATGTTGAGCTGAGGCCCGGGTATACTGCCATTAATAAGTCTTATTCTTATCCATTAAGCTTTTAAAAATTAGTCTTATTCTTATACATGTAAGTAATCTCTAATAAAAGATATATTTATACATGTATAGGCCACGCATTAACAACTAGTACACAAGCGGACTTTTTAAACATTTTTAACGTACTCCTGGGCCTCAGATGTTGAGTGTTGATGGAAATTACAGGAATTGGGATAGGAGGGGAATATTGAAAGGAGTACGGAAGGAAGGGAGTATGAAATATGCTGAAGGAAAGAAGGAAGGAATGGGTACTGAAGGAGGACAGGGAGTGTGAAAGGAAGTATTAAAGGACGGAGTGTAGAGAAAGGAAGTATGTATGGAAGGAAGGGAATCTTGAAAGAAGGGAATATGGATTCAATTCAATTCAATTTATTGGTAAGAACAAATATGATTTACATAATAAGACATAGTAGGTGACCTCATTTTCAGACGTTTATACCCACACAGTGATGGAAGTCTGGAAGGGAGTATTTAAGGAATGAAGAATTATTGAAGGAAGGGAGAATGGAAGGAAGGACGGAATTATGAAAGGATGTATAAGAAAGGAATATAGATTGATGTCATTTTATGAGATTATAACCGACTGCAAGGAGGATTGGCTCCCAGGGTGCAACATCGATATTCTGTCCCATAAATGAGGGGAGAAGTGTATAGGAGGTCTTTGAAAAGCATTTACAATATTTTTCAACGCTCTTACACCATGTACAATATTTTTCCATCCTTTTATAGTCTATACCATATACAATATTTTTCACAGCTCTTATACCATATACGATATTTTTAAAAGTTCAGGTAAATACAATATATACGATTGTTCGCTGTTGCTTAAAGTTTGGATATTTATTCGGAAATAGACTTCCCATACAGACCACAATGATTTCATGTATTACATTATTGAAGAAAGATTAATTCACATTTAACTTTTTGTTTCTTTGTCAATACAGTTTTAATCTTTTAGCACACATGTAAAGTAGAATTTTGACATGCTTATGCATCATATAGCCTAATGGAATCATTCTTGATTGCTGGCAAAAATGTCAATGTTTAATATTTTTTAAAAAAATGCTTTTGGAACCCTTTGTGTCTGTAACACAACAAAACTTTAACAAAATTCTGTTACAAAAGGTGGGTGGCCGTTTTTTGTAAAATCCAGGGGAGCCTGCAAAGAAATCTCCTATCTATGTTTGAGATACAGCTTTATAACCTTAATTTTTGAAAAGAGCATGTTAAAGGAGGAAGTAAAGTATCGCAACAGATTTCGGACAGTCATGTGTTGGATTTCTGATATTTTCTGGGGATTCAAACAGGTGCATATGTTAGGGCAATGCATTTCTCCAGGAAAAGCCCACCCACATGTGTTTTCTGAAATGTCCTGATTTTCAACCAATTCCACCCCTGATTTTTCTATTTTTGTTGCATCAATATGTTGTGTTTCAAGACACAGATAAGCCCTATAATGAAATAAGCTATTCCTCTTCGATGAAGTAGAAAACAATATTTCCCATGTTATTTTCCCATTGGGAAAACTCATGCGTTAATTGTGTGTCAAATAGCAACATATTGATTCAACAAAAATTGGAAAAGCAGGGGTGGAAGTGGTTGAAAATCAAAACATTTCAGAAAAACACGTGGGTCAATTGTTTGCATCTTCCCTGTCTCAAAGTCAAAATTATTTGATCATCTCTATGAGCGCTTTTTCTGCATCGGCCAAGCATATGCACCTATTTAATCCTCAGAAAATACCCAAAATTCAACATATGTCTGTCCGAAAGCTGTTGCGATACTTTCCCTCCTCCTTTAGGGGGAATCCACTTTCACATGTATTTGACCCATATTGGGAGTCAGAACATTATAATAGTGAAGGGACGTTATCTTGTTTTATTTTTGCCATCACCAAAAGTCAAAATTGAGGACAGATTCTTAAAGCTGGCACTCTCAGCTTTCTAACGGTATATTGGAAAGTTAGTGCAGATGAGGTCATTTATTTTAACTTTGGAGCGTACTTTATAAAGGCTCTACCTTGCACGATTATAAAATGAATTCTAGTCTTTGGCCTCAACAAATTACCTTTTAGCTGCATTTCATCTCTATCTAGTAAAGTGATACTCTGGACTTGAAATAGTTACACTTTTAATACACCATTAGTACACCTTGGTGTATGTGGTTTAAGATCCGTGTGACTCTATTCTCCTGTTACTTATCACTGGAAGATCCAGAAAAACATTTAAGAGCCCTAACATTTTTTTCGGCCAAAAGTTTTGTAGGCCCTCAAAAAATGGGCATTTTGGGCATATTTTGGCCTTTTTCAGGCCTTTTAGGCCTTGAATTTGCAAAAAATCCGTTTTAGGGACCCAAACATTTTTTCTGACTCAAATTTTGGGCACCCCTCCTCCCGCCAGTGCATATAATCTTAGCAAATATTTATTGCGTAATATGTATCCAGTTCTTCGCTGAGATATAAATATTTTACATCAATAGGTATATGTGCACTTATTGCATTGATCATATTTATCTTAAGTCTGAAAGTGTTCATGAGGTTATGTAATTGTTATTAGATTTATCATGGGCGTTTGTTTAACATCATATTAACCTATGAACTAGAACTCAAATATACTTTTGAAGTTCATGATTTCCAATCAAAGTTATCAAACATCAATTTGTAAATTCTGATTTTATTGAATTTAAATGCATTACTTTGTTTATGCATGTGGTATGCGTATTGCAATGCTCATCTTGGATCAAGTGTGTAATGATGGGACATTTTCTTCATTGATTTGAGTGTATTTGCCACGGCTTCAAACCAACCCTCTTCATCGTACACTATGTTCAGTCTCTTACAGACCTCTTGTATGTGCTTGCTGGCTGATCTGTAATTGTGTCTGGGCATCATAGGATAAAGATGATGCTCAATATGGAAGTTCAATCCCCCGTGGAACCAGTCCATCCACCATGGTGTTACAATATTGATATTGCTCTCGATCTGCATTCGGTACCATTCAGTCTCCTGACAGATATCCTTCTTCTCGTGGAATGGCTTAGAGTAATGACTGATAAGTAGTTGGATGTGGAGGATGCCTTCCATTGTGGAAGAAATGTAGTAAAATAAGATAGCCTCGCCCCAAGTGCTGAAATTGTTGAGTAAAATGTACATGATAAGCCAGTGTATACTCCAGAGTGCCCATTCAAACCAGCGTCTCTCTTCCTTGAAGCTGTCCAGCATTATACCAAAACGTCCAATAAATATATTAGCAGGCAAGAATGTAAAATGTTGAATGCTGATGAGGAACTTTTGGATTTTGCCAGAGTGGAAGGGAAATAGTTTATAATTCTGCGCCCAAACATCTTCGTGTGCTTGAGGGTCCATGAAACCGTCTTCGTAGTCGACCGTATTTGTCATGCCATGGTGTACCCTATGATCGTCTTGCCACCAATGGCCACTCACGCCAAAACATACGGTCCCACAAAATGCACCTATCCACGTGTCCAAATTGCGGACTTGCGTTCCGTGTGAATGCATGAAATCGTGCATGAGGAATCCAGCTTGTTGCCAAAAAAGAAACAATCCAAACGGTGCGATAGTGTACAGGATAAACCAGTTCTCAATGTATTTAGTCATTAGATAAACGGATAGGTAGATACAAAAGAGGAACACAAACTTCCCCGTGAACCATACTTGATTTGACTCAAAAAAGCCATTGTTTTTGAAGAATATGTGTAATTCAGCGAAAGCTTTGGTGGCGGGATCAGCAAACGATCTCTGATATGTACCAACGGGTCGACGATGTTTTAAAACACTATTGTCATGGAATGCTCTAAAGACACTTGTTGCGTCTTTCCCTATGAATTCCTTTATTATAGGTCCTCCTGGATGTTTGGCAATGAAGTGTTTTACATCATACCATGCTCCAGCTATACCAATTAACTTCGCATCACTGTCAACGGCCTTGTTCGATTTCAGCTCTTGCGATTTCACTATATTTTGATTTTGATCAACCTTGGTTTCATCGTTTGGAGTTGCTCCTCCATTTCCTTGTAATATGATACCTTCGCTACTTTGCACAATGTTACTAGGGTATCTTTTATGTATATTTGTTAGGTTGTTATCATTCGCGGCACTTTCCCTCTCCTCCTGTATCGTTTTTGATATCGTCATCTTGTCAATTTATTGTAGGGCCGGCTTGGTTGTTGAAGTCTGTTTGTGGCTTGTTGCTTACTGATGTAACCTGGTTCCCAAACTGTGATCGGCTACAGTATTGACCAATAGCACTGGTTAGTATCAAAATGTGGTTACGGCCGTTACCTTCTCATCTAAGATGGAGGACGGAAAGTGTCGATTTCGATATTTTTGGTTTTCGTCGAATTAAACTACTTTATAATTGACGTAATGCTTAGACATTTGAACTTGATAGGCCTTACATAATATGGAAACTTTGGAGTATGACCATCTGTTCGTAAATCATACGTGGACGCCATAATCCATACGGTCAGCGTGTTCCACCGCTTAAGGGAAGGTAACTGAAAGTGCATGATACTATATAACTGACACGTCTGTTTCCAAGATGATGCGGTTACTGTATGAAGTTAATAATATAGATCTTTTTGTTTCAGACCAAAATGATGCACTTCGCTATAATGTGCAGTTATTGTACATTACGGTTGGAAAGTGTAGCATTTATCCTGGACCATACGATAGGATGCCATGCAATAGACGTCCCAGATAGCAACTTCATTTTATAAAAACGGAGCTAAATGTCGAGACAGGTGTCGATGTCGATTAATTAATTGAAATTGGGAATCGAGATAATGTGAGCCCCCACTTGTTATATACCATTATAAACTCTCATAGCGTTACCGCATCACCACAGATCAGTTATCGTATCATTTGCAAAATCAAAATCTCAGTTACCTTCCCTTAAGCGTTGTAACATACAGTTGAATCATGACGCTCCAAAGTTTCCATGATATATAAGGCTTATCAAGTTCAAATATCAAAGCATTACGTCAATTATAAAGTATAGTTTAATTCGACGAAAACCCAAAATATCGAAATCGACACTTTCCGTCCACCATCTTAGATGAGAAGGTAACGGCCGTTACCGCATCTTGATACTGACCAGTGAATATAGTTTAACAACGGTTTATTGTAGTAGAGCTATTTGAGATTTATTTAAGCGGATCAGTCTTTTACAGCTACTATTCTTGTACTATGTAACAGGCGGCAAATACACAGCTTACCAGTGGTTTTTTAATCCATTTGACATTGTCTGTTACCCTTTCCAATAGTTTTTGCTTCTTTAAAAGAGAGCTTCAACTTCACTTAATGAACTAGACTCTCATAATTGTATTCAGGGTAATTGTCTGAGTGTGTGTGAGAGAGTTATCTTATCACAATCCGCTTGACGATCTATAGCAGTTCATTAGATATTCACAAAGACCAAATCGAATGTGATAACTTTTACCGGTCGTTTCTATTTATCATACACTCCCTTTCAAAACTGTATGGCAACACCATCTCCTCTTTTGGATAACATGTTAAGACCTATTCATATGTTTTCCAATATCCTCAAATCGACTAATGTACCCTAGGAAAAGGTTGGAAAATAAACAGGCTTTAACAGACTATCAAATGGGGAGATTGGGGTTGGGGATTGGGATTGGGATTGCCATATTTTTGAAGAGAAGTGTACGTTACATACTTGCGATCAAAACACCAAAAATATTGTGGGTGACCCTTGGAAACTATTGAATGGATCAGGCTCTTAGCCAAATAAGGTACCATGTTGATCAAACATGCTAAATGTATAGGCTTACTTTCTCACGATTGTATTGATATAAATACTATATATTTGAATTATGGAAGCTATTTTTAACTATTTTGGAATATTCAATGGAAATGTTTTTTTGGATTTGGCCTATAACTATTGTTCGATAAGATAATTTAATATGAGGGGTTTGAAGTGTGTATTTAATCAACCAAGTGCTGATGGTACAAACGCCAGGGTGAGTGAGATAATGGTCATTATTCCTTTAAGGACTAGTTTTCTCGTATATCGGTAATACAATTGTCATTTGAGGTAACGCCTCACCTTTAAACTGGAATACTGATGCTTTTTCGAGTCAAATTTGAACTATTGATATATCATACAGGCTCGTAGCCAGGGGGGGGGGGGGGGTTCGCAGGGTTCGGGCGAATCCCCCCCCCCCCCCCCCCCTCGGCCAAAAATTCTTTCAAAATCATGCAGTTTATCACCATTTTTAGCACTTCTCAAGTGATTTCAGCCATATTTGGGCCAAAATTGTCAAATGTGTACCCCCCTGGAAATTTTTGAAAACTACCCCCCCCCCCCCCTTGGCAAATCCTGGCTACGGGCCTGTCATAGACCCAAGTTCTAATAAACGTCAATAAACTAAATATGATTAAAATAGGTGCATGTGCACTCATATATTTTGACTTATAATTGACTGATACAAAAACACAATATAAATTAATAAAACGTTCATTCTATCACGATATAAAGTGCACCAAGAAAGAAATATAGACTAGAGTACACGTCTACTCTAATTTAATGATTAACCTAATAAAAAAACTATTTCCTATTTAACCGATGATATTCTTAGATATGAAAATGACCAAAGTGCATTCAGTGTTACCCTGGTGATTAGTTACAACTAAAACAACTCCTATCGTGATTTTTGGGGGACTGAGTCATGGGCGTAGCGCTATTTTCCTAAGTAGTACGCCACCACCACAAGAACAAGAGTTGGCTGAATCCAAAAACGAGCATTTATGGGGTCTGGGGTTCTCCCCCAGGAAAATTTTGAAATTTGGCTGTATTTGGAGCGAATTTGCAACCATCTGGTACGCCTGTGCGTACCCAGCGTACCGGGCGCTACGCCCATGTGAGTTGAAGTTGTTGTTAAGTTTAAGTTAATATTCATAGGCGTAGGGACCATAGCCAATAAAAATAAAACCATGAGAAAGAAGAAAAGAGCCACCCTTTCCCCTGACTGAAAGCTGGCTACGCCCCTAATATTGATAATGATATTTCGACACAATATTTTACATAAATTGATGTACTTAATTGATAATGACTTTTAAACGTCGTCCAATCTAGAAGAACTCGTGTCAAAAGTTTATGTTATTAATATGAATAATGCGTTTAAGTTATTCATCTCATCGAGGGTCAAGTTTAAAATGCGTAGACATTTTCTTTAGATGCATCAAAGTTCTCTTGATGGCTTCAAACCAGCCACATTCATCATAGTGTATTCCCAGGTCTTTGCACGTCTTACGTATATGAATACTTGCTTCTCTGTATTTGTGACGGGGCATTAATGGGTAAAGATGGTGCTCTATATGAAAGTTTAGTCCACCGTGAAACCAATCTAGCCATTTAGGATTCTTGATGTTGATATTGCATTCGATCTGCATGCGATACCAGTTTTTCTCCACGCAGATATTCTCTTTCTGGAAGAAATCCTTGCAGTAGTGACTGATTAACAGCTGTACATGGAGAATTCCCTGGAAGATGGATGCCAAAGAATAAAATATGATGACCCGACGCCAGGTGGGGAGAAAAGAGAACAACAGAGACATCCATGACCAATGGAGCATGAACGCAAACCATTCGTACCAACGCCGTTCCGTTTTGAAGCCATCCAGCATAATTCCAATCCTGCCTACAATAACACAAATTGGGATGAAGGTAATGTGCTGGATCCGGATGCATAGTTCTTCGATATTCGAGGAGTAGAAAGGGAAAAGTTTCTCATTTTGAGCCCATATCGGTTCTCGCATTTGTGGATCGAAAAATTGTTGGCCGTAATCCACAGTGTTGGTCAGGGCATGGTGTACGTAGTGCTCATCGCGCCACCAGTGTCCATTCACTCCGAGGCAAGTAGTGCCAAAGAAAAGGCCCAACCAACGGTCGATTTTACGATTATGGAAGCCCTGGTTGTGCATAAAGTCGTGCATGAAGAAGCCACATTGTTGCCAAAAGGCGGCGATAGTGAAGGAGGCAAGGAAATGCATGTACCATTGCGTGTGACAGGTAACCAGATACCATGTTAGTCCAAAAAGTAAAACAGTTACCATCACCTTTTTGAGGTACCAGCTGAGACTCGTTTTAAAGAAGCCATTGTTGATGAAAAATAAATGTAAATTGGCAAAAGCTTCGGCTGCTGGGTCGCTTGAACATTGTATATACTGTCCTACTGGTTTGCGATGTTTTAGCACATCTTCGCCATGGAACGCTTTGAACACGGGTGTCGAATCTTTCCCTATAAAATGTTCAATGAGATCTCCACCTGGATGATATGGTATAAAATTAGTGATATCATACCAGTTTCCATCAATTCCGATAAGTTTGGCGTTTGGATGCTCCTTCATATACCGATTATAGTCTATTTGTTGTGTTGGAGTCAGGCTAAATCCATTCCTCTTATGCAACATCGTGTGTCCATTTGATATTCCGTTCGTTCTGGCTTTTTTGTAATTGTTGTTGTTCATCTGATTGTCACATGTATCATTCACGATAGCATGCTTTCCTGGTCCGACTGCTGTTGTGTTGGAACAAGAGTCGGCTGCTTTGACCATGCTATAGTTACATTTCATGTCATCAATAGTTGTGATTCGTTCAGTTGACTCCCCTTCGACGCTGGAGGTTCTAACACTCAAAGTCATGTCGGCTGCAACTGTAATAAAAACGACATTGATATTAAGCACCCAGAATAAACCATGCATCAATATTAAGCATCTACGATTTTTATCCGTGGTTTTGTCTTTGAAGTGCTACTCTGCCCTTATCATTGATAAATGACATTTGTACCGTATTCATTTATGAAAAAAACGTTAACTGTACCTTGCAACGTGCGTATGTTTATCAGTCGAGTACCTTAATACTCATTCATAAACAATTTCACATCATATTAATTATTTGTATTTTTTCATTTAGAAACATTGCGAAAATTGTATGGAACAAGTCAAATCAGTCCAAACTCTCTAAAGTTATATTTAATCAAAACTATTGCAAGTCTTCATAGGTTATGTGTACTTTTTATCACTAATTAGTAATCATATTAGTTCAGGAAACATATACACACCACAATTCAATTTGTTGTTAAATTCAAATGACATTTGAATCTTTTCAACATGTGTTTGATATAGCCTAACAGTTGCTGAAAGGAGCATTTATTGGCTACTCGATAACGCGGTTAGATTTGAACAGTTTCCTGAGTTTACTCACAGAGCCGGAGCCAGATCCAGCCCCTATTGGTATTAGGCTCAAAGAATAAATGGTATATTTATTGAGCCTAGACACTACTGAAGAAGAGGTAATCTGGCAGAGGTCCGTGCTGAGCGTGTATTCAAGAATGCAACTACCGGCTGCCGGATTAACCTACTATTTTATGACCAACTCATTTAAATATGATATGGCAGGTACATAAAATAGTAGGTTGATCCTGTAGCTGACAGACGTTCGCGAATACCACAGGAAGTTGTATCAAGTCCTTTTTGGGCCTAACAGAGCTTTTTTCCCTTCCCCACTCTCAGAACAGATGTATTCCTCAAGGATTCCCTCCTCGCGCTGAAAGAATAGGTGAAATCAAAAGTAGATTTTCTACAAGATCCGTATTCAAAATTCGACCAAACTTGCACAACTTACACGGGGGTAAAGCAGACCCGATGATGCAATGAGCTTGCTCGGCGGTATCATGACTGTGTAACGGGTCTTAATGTATAAGTGTGCTCGGCGGTAGGTTCAAACAACGCGGATCCTCAAAGCATGGACTTCTAATTTGAAGTCCATGCTCAAAGCATGTGCTCATGGTATATTCGTGTTTTAACACCCGTGACTTAGTAATTAGAAAATATAAAGGTGTATTTTATACAAACCAGCTGATTCCACAAATGAATTTGACCCTCGCCTAAACCATGGAGGTAAGCTTACATAATCATCCATGTCTACTTAGAGGTTACGTCACTGTAAATGCCAGGTTCTGCCAATGTGTATACCAACCTTGAGAGGTTTGGGCAAGAACCTTTCACGTCATAGTGAATCAGTGACATAATTGATGTATTACATACCTTTATTCCCATGGCTACTATGGATCAATGACGTCACATATCAGAGTGGGAGTAGAATTTGAAGGAAATGAAACATGACGTCATTATACTGTCATGGTTATTAAAGAAAGTGGATAATATCTCTCCGGTGGATTTTAAAGGAAATTTTCCATCACGAGTGGGTGTTGTAAGGAAGATATTCCTCACCAGTAGCTGTTGTAAGAAATAAAGAGTTAGGCAACAACGTGGAAACCAAATGTATATTTTTATTTGTCATTCTGTGTCCCGATGTAAAAGGGTAGGTGGTCCAATCAAATTTTGGTCCTACTCTGTATTGATTTATATGGTGACCGAATTACAATTATTTTCCTTATTATTTATACACAGTCAGGGCCAGTAAGTGCCGTGAGGAAAGGGGACCATAATCCCCAGGGGACCATAATTTATTTTACACCGGTGTCGCACTGGTCAAATTAGGGTCAGTCCTTTGGTGATTTGATTAGATTCGATTTTAAAAAGACACTCCAAGGTTTGCTTAGTTGATAAATTAGTTAATATAAATTAATAGTTTATAATGGGTGTGCGATTTTATATCTGTACATAGTACGCGAAACAAGTAGCTCCTCTGTACCAGTCACAGGCTACTTTATATTGAAATATTACAACATTTGATTAAATAATTAATTAATGAATCATTCATGATTCAGACGAAATCAATTAAATTATGACCTTCTCTGTTAATCATTAATAAAATCAATTTCTTTTTGAGTTTGATTTGGTCCACGTGAAAAATAGAAGCAGCAAGAATCTGAATTATTTCCTCACTTTCATCATGATAAACCATGACTTCTCATTTGTTCTCAGCCCTGAGATGGTGAAACAGAAAGATGCTATGAGTATCTGATAATCAGAATGGTTCACTTTAAGACCTTATTAAGTGTTAATCATAATTGGTGTAATTTACGTCTTACTTTCAAGAGGTTAAAAACGTAACAATACGTAACGAGTCTAGTTGGCGAGCCAAAATATTGTTTTGACGTGCGTTTCTCAACGTGGGTTCCATAAAATACGTGCGTCCATTGGTAAAACCATGTTTGCATTGATTTGCAAGTGTCGATTACAACAAACATTAACAAGGCATTAACATGACAAAATGTCACCACCTAAAACAATTTGGTCAATTTAAAGCAAGTTGGAAAATACCTTTTGACCTTAAGAAGGTTTTTGAAGATTTGAGCTTCTGGGATCTTGTAGATGATTTTGAAAAAAGAAATTGTTCAATCTGAAGCAAGTTAAAACTAGTTGCACACAAATCTTAAGTCAGATTTGAACTTCTTAGAACATGTAGATGATTTTGAAAAAAAAATTCGTCAATTTGAAGCAAGTTGAAAAAATACCTCTTTGACTTTTTTTGACATTGAGAAGGTCATTGAAGGTCAAATGTCAAATGTAAAGTCAGATTTGAACTTCTGAGAACATGTAGATGATTTTGAAAAAAAAATTAAGTAAATTTGAATCAAGTTGAAAAAAGACCTTTTTGACCTTGAAAAGGTCATTGAAGGTCAAATGTCAAATCTAAAGTCAGATTTGAACTTCTGAGAACTTGTAAAGTCAAAGGATCTAGTGCACCCGCCATTATGATCTCCCCATGAACAAAATGAATCATTTTTAGGTGTAACATAAAGAATACAATGTCACATAATACTGTGGAAAATATTTAAGCGTTTGGACCCACATGGGCTGAGGTTGAGGTCATTAAGTTCAGCAAGGGTGTATTGACTTGCCATTGGATGTGCTCCATTGACTTAACATGTGGATATCATCAGATTCCAATGGAGTCCATTGGTTTCTATTGATTTTCACAAAAATACCTAAAATACACTATGACCTGAATCGATTGCAAATTAAATAATTTCACAATATGACACAAATGGTATATCACATCAGATGTGCAAATAATAAGTTTGCAATCGATTCAGGTCATACTTCAAATTAAAGGCTTAGACATTTTTTTCATCATTTTTTTCCTACAAAATGGCTATAGGAAAATGCTTCAAAAGCAACTTTTACACTTATGAAATCCCATACAACTTTGTAAATCCAAAGATTATACTGTTATGTTTCATTAATTAATAACATATTTGGATAAGATGTAGGGATGTGTAGGATGCAAATGGATTTTGACAGACACAAAAACACTTCCTGGTTTGGCATCTCGACCCCTGTACACTTTATGATTGAATATTGGCCCTAATAAGTGGCCCATTCATCAATACAGTGCTGAATATAGGTCAAAAAGATACTAATGTACATATAAATGTAATAATAAAAGCAGTATTTTTATTTTGAAAAATCAGATGAATTATTTTTTTCTCATGGGGAGATCCCAATCAGGCAAGGTCCTTTGAACTTCTGAAAAGATTTGGTCAATTTGAAGCAAGTTGAAAACAGACCTTTTTGACCTTTTTTGACCTTGAGAAGGTCATTAAAGGTCAAATGTCAAATCTAAAGTCAGATTTGAATTTCTGAGAACATGTAGATGATTTTGAAAAAAAAAATTAATCAATTTGAAGCAAGTTGAAAAAAGACCTTTTTGACCTTTTTTGACCTTGAGAAGGTCATTGAAGGTCAAATGTCAAATCTAAAGTCAAATCTAAAGTCATATTTGAATTTCTGAGAACATGTAGATGATTTTGAAAAAATTTTTTAGTCAATTTGAAGCAAGATGAAAAAATACCTTTTTTGACATTGAGAAGGTCATTGAAGGTCAAATGCCAAATCTAAAGTCAGATTTGAATTTCTGAGAACATGTAGATGATTTTGAAAAAAAATTTAGTCAATGTGAAGCAAGTTGAAAAAAGTCCTTTTTGACCTTGAGAAGGTCATTGAAGGTCAAATGTCAAATCTAAAGTCAGATTTGAACTTCTGAGAACATGTAGATGATTTAGAAATAAATTGAAGTCAGTCTAAACAGTATTTGTTAAGTTATAGGAAGTGGTAAGAAATTGTTACAGACGCCGGACGCCGGACGCCAACCTCCAACCACCAACCGCCGTCGCAAAAAAACGGAGACCATAACAATATGTCACCACTTTCGGTGGTGACATAATAAAACGGATTTGGGGATGTTATATGATAGTCCAAAATCCCGGGCCAAAACAGCATCTTCGAAGACTTTAAGGGGGCCTGCTGTATGCTTTACCTGATATTCAGGCCTTTTCCTTATTTTGAATTCCAACAGCATTTAAAAGACTGAACATGTTTCTTCAGGTTGGTAATTAATTTTTATATCCATAACTGTTACTGTTTGACGCAACCTTAAATTTATTGTTTATTGACGTTTCGAGATTTATTGACGTCACAAGATAAGATCGGGTCCAACGCCAGAAGTTAAAATTCTGAGGAAGAAACGCAAAGTGTTTTCGAAACGTCAATAAACAATAAATTTAAGGTTGCGTCAAACAGTAACAGTTATGGATATAAAAACATTTAAAAGAATTGTAAAATGTATGAGAAATTGAGCCTTATAATTGTCTCAATGTCTTTTTAGAATTTTTAAAAGTTACTCAACAGTCTTTTACCTTAAAGTTTTCTCTCATCTTTTTTATCTTGTACATATCCCTTTTTAGCATATCAATGATCTGATAATTATTAGTATTTAAAAATGAGATAAAATAAATAGAAATGAGATCAAATTACACTTACGGCAAATTTTAGATATACACCTCCCAGTAATATAGAGTCAATGTTTCAAGAGATGTTTTCTGACTTGACGTTGCTATGTAAGACTTCTTGCCTTATAGCGCCTTGTTTCGAAAATAAATAGGATTCTCAATTATTCGAATAGTACTCCAATCGGTTGAATTTACATGTAGGCTATTAATATTGAATTCGATTTGGATAAGATTAAGGGGTCGATTCAAAAATCTTTATATTGTTGATTTGTGGAGGAGGGATATAAGTGGGGGGTCAAGGGCCGATTGGTTAAGTGATGCCTTTAACTTTTTGCAATAAGCCTTCAAAGCACTGCCTTAATGGTTTGAACTCAATATTTGAGGTTTACTTTAGTATATGGTCAAAGCTATAACGAAAGTAAACAGCGTTACTCGAAGTACTGTTAGTTTGATCAAATCCCCCAACAGTATTAAATCAATAGCAGTTCAAAAGAATACTTATGCAATTGGAAACGATTATTACTACAGATTGGAGGTTTCATTTTATTGTGAATTGTGCTGACAAAGACTCATTTCTGTCAACTGTGGTAGCAAATAGCAACACCATTCGGCGAAGAAAACATAACCCGGAAGACACAAACATTCCTATATAAGCAGTATTAGGATCGTTAGTCAGCTTAAAGAAAAATGTGTACAAAGTAAATTATTTCCTTTCTTGACTGCGAACCTTGTCTGGACCATACACACCGTGATCATGGTGACACAACATAGATGTATTCATCGTGCAAATGTTGAGTGCACGTGTCCGCACCAAGGCCCTTAAAGTGTATGTGTACCCTGTGCTGCTGTATTACCTTTCAGCGGGTGCGTGGGTGGAGCGTACACCAAATCCGCACATGCGCACCGAATGAATTTGAAAATATAGTGAAAATGTGTATTATTTGCGGTGTTTTGTGTACTTAATTCAAAATACATTATTTGTTTATTCATTGATGATTCGGTTATAGCGTAGGCTACTAACCTAACTGTTTTTAATGATTGAATGGTGCAATGAAAGACGCATCAGAGTAGATTTGACTCATTGGCTATGTAACGTATATAGATTTTGAAATGGAACTTAATCTTGGAATACTAGCTAAAGATTTTACAATGATGTCTTCATTCTTCTATGATGTGGATATCCACATTTACTATTATTTTGTAGAATTTATAAATTTTGCGCATTTACGCCTAACTATTGACAACGTACAGTGACATAACACACCGTCGTACACTAAAGATGTACGGTGTTTCTATTTAACCGATTTAAAGCAAAGACAATGATGTAGATTTGATGTAGGTTTTAAAAAATTATCTTAGCAATTAAGGATTTCAAGTTTGATTTCGTGTGTATTCGTTTGGGAAGACATTTAACTATCTAGTAACGTTAACATATTTTCAAACAGTGCTTGATTTTTTTCGTGGTTAATCTACCCATATACAGGGTGGGCCAATAAAAAATGGAACATTTTTCTGTTTATTCAATTGTCTTTATTTTTGCAGATCAATCCATGATTTAGCTTATGGTAAAATGATTATTTGTGAAAATGTAAAAGATAAAAATATGTATGTATGATTATTTTTGGCTTGTCATGGTCATGATATGTATTCTGCATGTATGTCTATACTAGCTTATTGATTATAGACTGTAACCCATTCTGTAGAAGTGCTCTAGAAATGCAACCTTCCTTACATGAAATGTTACACATTCCAACCTATTTCAAACCATCTGTATGATTATACTGGACATTTTCTGGGTAGTTGGACTTTCTATAGGGGTGGCAGACGGCCCTCAGACCAATTTATACCCCTACCCCCAAAAAACCATGGGGGTACTTTAATACCACCCAATAAAAAGAATACTAATGCATGTCAGATATTCATTGTTTTATATTGGGTAGGGCATGTTATGGTTAATAAGTGCCAGAAATTTCCAATCTCTAACTTATATGGTTACCATAGAAACAGTATTTATATCTCGAAATATGCTCAATTTGACCTCCTCCCAAATGTGTCCCTTTGTTCTCAAAGTGAAATATTTCAAAATCTGTTTGGATTTTGTGGTTGCTGCTTTGTCAAAATTTGTAATATTATGTCTATATTAACACTAAAACACTTAAAAGTTGATATAATGATCCTATAAATCAATAATATTTATCAAATATAGTCACACATAGCTGCTTTCAGGGAAAAGTGGGCGTGGCACTTTTTGGTACTTGTGCGCTTGTTGCAGCATTAAATGAAAAATGCAGATTACACTAACAATAACTGACATTTAATTAGCATCTACTAATGTTGTGTAACATTGTAATATGTTCATTATCATTATTAGACACTTTAAATATTTTATATAAGTGTTATCCTGACCCTTCCCTATCATAGGTCATCAATGGTCAAATGAACTTTTAGTTTAAGTCTTATAGGGTCCTCGGGCTTTTAAGTCTATCAAGAGTCAAGTCTTACTTATTCATTGACTTGTTCCTAGAATATGAATGGATAAGTTCAAGTCATCTAGAGCTATGAGTTACAATTAATTTATATGCTTGTTCAACAGGGTTCAATATTTAGAACCATTTTACCATGTTTACTGCAATTGAAAAGTAATGAACAGTTCAATCCTTTTGGTATGATATTTGATGCTAGTGTGAATCGCATAACATTTATGATTAAACTTAAATGAACTAATATAACTCTGGCTATTAACCCTTCCCTAGTATCCTTCACATAACCTCTAAATCATCTTCATATCCATGGCCTAAATGGGGAAGGAGGGAGGGGTTACAAATAGTGACCGAGGATAATTTGAATCAAAGCAAGAAGACGTAATACTCAAAACTAGAAAGATTGGAGACCATTTATACCCTTCCTAATATTTTGCCTAATACATAACACTAAAATCTATTTAGTCAGACACTTGCTGATTCTTTTATCAATACCTCAACATCAGGCAATGCATGATCTATCCAATGGATTAAAGATTATACTTGATTCTAATACGGCAAAATTTTGCAGTTATAATAAAATGCATCCATTCATTCGTGGCTCATAGTTAACAAAAAAGCTATTCTCTGGAAGGTACAGTATAATTTCTATTAGTATTTAGCAAAATAATTGCAAGATAAACAATTTACACATGTTTTATCTACCATTTAAGTGTATAATACTCTCATTTTACACTGGTTTCAATTCATGGTTAGGTCTATGGGGTGTTTTTAAAATTTGTATTGATAAAGAATTTTTGATCTTTTGGAACCCCCCCCCCCCCCTTGGATTTCATTTCATTTTAAACTTTAACCATGAAGGGTATATACAGTATTTGGAAGCACAAAATCAAGTAATCTTGATGACTTCTAATATTTTATTCATCATTATAGTACAGGTTTCTTTTTCTATTTGACATTGCAATGATGAAGGATGTATGACACTTTGTTGGATGCCTCTTGGATTTCATGTTAATTTTAGCCTAACCAGGAAAACCACTCATTTTTCCAATCTAATTTGCTGCCATTTCACTGATAGTTGATATAAAGTTAATGTTGAGCAAGGTATGCTCAAATCAACCTAAGTTTTATTTACATGTTTCTGGTTTTATAGGTATGCTCTTGTTTTCAAACAAAATAATTCATAGCCGACAGTATTTTCAACTTTTTTCAATATACAGTATAAAACATTGAGTTGTACTGATAGTCACAATGCATGAATTTGGCTTATTATTGCTTGGCTTTTTCTATAAGGGCTTTATACCTTTCTCTGTGTTACATAAACTAATGGCTGGCAATCATTTTGTTTGTTTTGTTTTTTTTGCAAGGGCTCACTACATAAAATTTGAAACGAGTCCGTAGCTCAGCTGGGTAATTATACAGCAAAGCACATAAATGTGTGGAGTAGTTAAACCCAAATCAATTGATTTTTGGAATCATTTCATTGTAAATATTCTTTTTATTAAAGGATTCTTCTTAGCATCACGATGGTGCCACTTGAATGTATTGAGAAACCAATATTGTATTTTTAACCATGCATTTCTCCTTTGGAGGCATGCTGAATTTCATGATATATCCAACTTAAACTTTAAAGTTAGTGTAGTTTCTTTTCATTTTTTATTATCTTTGATCCATTTGGAGTGGATACACTGTAGAGCAAGGTATGCTCAACAGATACCATTTTTGTTTTTGTCTTACTTTTATGTTTCATGTAAGCATTTTGCTTGCATTTTTGTTTTTGTTCTTTGTTCATGATGGAAGCATAATTTCATATGGTTTTAATTGCCTTTTCAACGAAAATGGATAATCCCTTGAATGTATTGCCTTTTCATAACTGTTCCAATGTTGACTTCCTCAATGACACAAATCAGCTTGATTTTTATGAATCTTTAATTTTTGACCCTCTTGATTTTGAGAGGAGAATCGCAACCGAAGACCAATATGAAAATGTACAATCAGATATGCAGGACATTGCTCAAAAGTGCAAATTTTTTAACATTGACCAGTTCAACTCAACTGTGAGGCAGGACTCTTTTTCTCTTGTTCACTTCAACATGAGAAGTCTTCCAAAAAATAACTGGAAATTTCAAATATTTGAATCACTGAGTAGGACTAAATTTTCTGTAATTGCCATGTCAGAAACATGGCTTAATTCCAATATTGAAAAACTTTATAAACTTGATGGATACAACTCTGTCTTTAATTCTAGGAATGGTTCAAGAGGTGGAGGCATTTGCCTTCATATTGATAAGCATTATTCATTCAAAGTAAGAACTGATCTTCAGTTAACACTTAATCAATGTGAATCCTTAACAATCGAAATTGAGCAGATATCTGGAAAAAATATCCTTGTTACTGGTATATATAAACCACCAAATGCTAATTTAAATGATTTTAATATAGATTTTAATTTACTGCAAGAGAAAATCGTAGCAGAAGATAAAATTTCATATATATTAGGTGACTTTAATATTGATATTTTAAAATCAAATCAACATGAACAAACAAATGAATTTATATGTAACTTGCATTCAAATAACTTTATACCTTTGATATATAGACCTACTAGAATTACTCAAACTACTGCCACACTTATCGATAACATTTTTTCAAATGCAAATAACATAGCTCACACAGGTGTATTACTTTATGATATTTCTGACCATTTCCCAATATTTGCAATTAATGATAGAACAAAATCTTGTGTTAAAAAAAGAAAAATTCAATATCGGGTTATTAATGATGAAACAGTTAGTAGACTTAAAAATGAGATATCTTTGATCAACTGGGATAATTATGATGAATCTCCTTGTATTAACACTGCTTACAATTCATTTTTAGATATTTTATCCAGAACATATAACAGATGTCTTCCTATTAAAAATAAAATAATTAAAACGTATAATGATAACAATAAACCATGGATAACTTTAGGGATAATAATTTCAGCCAAATATAAAAACAAACTGTACACCAAATATAAGAAAAATCCAACTTTGCAGAATAAGACAGTTTACACTAGGTATAAAAATAAATTAAATCATGTTATCAGAAATGCAGAAAAGATGTTTTATAAAAATAAATTTGAAGAGAGCAAAGGTAATATAAAGAAATCTTGGAATATTATTAATAGCATTTTAAAAAGAAAACCAATTAATTCAAATACAAATTCCTCATTTGACCTTGGTGAACGGAAAACAACTAATGGTGAAGAGATAGCAGAACATTTTAATCACTTCTTTAGCACAATTGGTAAAAAACTTGCTGATCGTATTAAGACTAACATTGACCCAATGATTAACATGAGAAAAATGAATCAAAATTTAAACTCTCTGTTCATTACCCCAGTTACAATAAATGATGTCACAACAGGAATTAA